GGTAATGAATTTTTACAAAAGGTTTAAAACAATTTTATTAATTCAATTTATGAATATCTCAAGTAAAAAAATAAGAAAAAGTGAAATTTATTTAATTTACAAAAATAATTTTTTTTAATTAACTCAAATATAACTTAAAAACAAAACCACATATAATGCAAAGTAAAAAAAAAAAAACAATTGAACATACTTATTTTATTTCATTGACTTGTTTGAGAAACACAAGTGTTTTGAAAAGTATTATTTTTATCGTAAAAATAATGCAGATTATGTAAACATTATTGTTCTTAATTTAATAATGTTGACTCTTTATTTCTCCATCATTCTACCTCTTACTTTCCATATTCCCGATGCCTTTGTTTCCATATAAATTCTTCTTCTCTTGTAGGTGTAGGATGGGGATGAAGCATGCATGCATGAGATAGGAGACTCGTTGTTACATCACATACCTTTAGTGATTTACTTTACTGTCAAAAGTCATTGCTGTTTTACCTTTTATATTATATCTGTATTAATAACATGACATTTCCTCTGTCCTTCTCTTTCAATGACAAAGACTCAAATTACATGAGAAAGGCGTCAAACCAAGAGATTATTACACATGCGTGTGTACTTTTCTTTCCAGACTCTGTTTGGTGAAACCCAAGCCTGGGTATTGCTGCTAGCTCCATCAGCCATCAGAAAAAGTTGCCACTTGCCAGGTTTCCCCCCCATTAAAAAAATGTTTTAGTGCAAAGTTATTAGGTATTCATATTATATTATGTGTCATATAACAAATTATATATATAATGGCATAGCATATGTTATTAGTTTTTGCATGTTGTATCTTTCACCATGCTAATTTTTATGATCAACATTCGGGCTTGTGTTTGATTCAGAAATAGAGGTCCCTTCTTCCTAGGCTCATGCGAAAGGAGGAATTTTGTTCAGAACCATGTTGGACATTTCCGTAGCAGATCACAAAGTGCATCCTCAATGTTCATGTTGAAATCGTGAAAAATTTTATATTAAAAAAAAAACCTCCCAGTCATACAAACCCTTGCTTGCTAATTTGGTTAGTTGTCATAAGGTTTTGGTGTAGTCTATTAGAGAAGAGTGAAAAAATAAATAAAAATGTTTGTATGGCATATAATGGGAAATAGGGCCACCAGGGTCAGTGCTTGAGGATACAGTGAGGAAGTGAGAGCTGGAAAGGTTGATCAAGAAAAAGACCCTTTATTCAATATTTGGTTAACCAGGTAGGGCGTGTCTCCCCAAAGACCTCCATTATAAGTTGAAGTGTTCAAAGAAAATCATGGACCCTTTGTGTCAAGTTTCCCTCCACTTATGATGCATGATAGAACAATTGTGACCATTATAGCTGGATTCGGATGTCATGTCCACCTGTGAATCTTCGCACTGCATTTTTTCAGATAAATTAAAAAGCACTGTAGCTTTGTTGATTAATTATTTAATTATAATGTTAGACCTACCTTTACAAGACGAAAGGATTGTCATATGTATATTGCTAATACTTGAACACGTTGCTACTTAAAAGATAATAAAATTTACGTTAAAGTATTAAAACTTTCAAAATAAATTATTTCGACTCATTTGAATTTGTTTATTACGAGTTGGACTCAACAGTAAGGTGATTGATTATTTTTGTGGCGAGTAAAAAAGTTTTTGCTAATTTTACCCAGTTCAACAACCTGCTAATTTGACTCATAAAAAAAAAGTGGAAAAAGTTATATATATATATATATATATAATATTTTCTTTTACCATTTAATAACTAACACTTTTAAGTTATTAACTAATCTTCAAACCATCAAAATTTTTATATTATAAAAATTAATTTTTTAAAAAAAAACTCACGAATTCATTCAACGTATCATAGATTAACCCGTTTTAAAGGATGGAGTGGGTGAGTCAAATCATAAAAATCTGCGTAATTCATAGGTTATTATTATTTTAAACCCAATTTAGTAAATCGTGGTGAACCAATTAGCACAGGGGTGGAAGTTAGCTTTGACATCTCTAAAAAATATGTTAAAAATATTAAAATTTGTTATAGATTTGTATTAACAGTATTTTCATAAAAATGACTCTTTAATTTTTTAAACTATATCTTTAAAATACTAATTAGCAATTTTTTATTAGAGATTTTTGTGCTAACTTCATTAAATAATTTAAGACTATTTCGAACTTAACTGGAACAAAACAAAAATATATAACGTGAGAATAACAAGTGAGATAAAAAATATATTAAAATTACAAAAAGTACTTGTCTACTTGATATTAACCGTAAAAATATACACACTACTCACTAATTAATTGCAATTGTGTCGTCTTTCGCTTGCTTTGAGGTTTTAAATATAAATAATTTTTAAATAAAATTCGATTCCAAGTTTGGTCGTACATGCTTAGAGACATCGAAGTCTCGAATGAGGAGAACGCCCACATGTTTACGGAAAATAATAATAATATAATTTGAAAAAAGTCTTATTCTTATATTTAAATATATACTATCACATTGTTTCATTGATTTCATATATTATAAAATATTAAATCATTTATTAACACAATAAAATATTCTATTAAAAATAATATAATTTTTAATATAGAACAAATGAAACAATTTTATATAATATTTTTTTAGTAAAACTCATGTATTTCAATGCATTAGTAATATTAAATATATTTTATTAAAAAATCAATAACAATAATAAACAAGGCATATTAATGCTATTTTGAATACATTTTTCACTTTTAATATTTTAATTAATATTCTAAACACACTAATTTGCAAGATTCAAATAACAATATAATAATAATAGTGACGCCTCCGCGTTAGGCGAACTTCAACTTTGCTACGTTTGTTATTATTTGTCTGTGCGTATGCATTGACAGATTCTGTAACTTTCATGATATTGATAATTAGTCAAAGGAAGTGTTTAAAAATATTTATACGTACTAAATAAAAAAGGTAAAAAAGAAAAAAGTGATAGTAACTCACTTGTCACTATAAAATGTTGATGTAAATTTGAATGATTGATTATTTGATGAGTTTTAAATCAAACGTTCTTAACTAATTAGCATTACTAATTGTACCTTTGATGGGATAATTTGAGACTTAAAATAATTATGAGTTAAAGGTAATCCATTGAAAATTTTCTTGAGAGGCCTCTTTAGTATTAGGGTGAAAGGGACAGCACAATTATGATGGGAGTGATAAATGCAAGTGTGGGTACAAGTTGAGCATAATAAAACATGTAATGGGTATTTTGCTACTTATGTTTTTCTTTGACGCTGACCCTTTACATAGCAGGCTCAGCTCAGGGTAGAGATTTCGTTCCATGGCCAATTCATATTCATATTCGAACTCTCTATGTTGGCCCACTCACAATTAAGAGATGAACACCAGGGCACTAATATTGTGACCATTCACACAACAATTATAAAAAAAACTCTTTTCCTAATCACAAAATTGTTGTATATGGTTCGATATTGAAAAGTAATAAATGGCTTAGAATAAGTTCTTAAAATATCATTTAATTATTTTTAAATATAAAAAATATTTTAATTTAATTATTTAAACTTAAAAGATGTATAATAAAATTAAACTGAGACCAAATTAAGTAATTCAAAGTAAATAAATAACATACTTTTTTTTATTAAACTATTGAAGAAGACATAAGGTATATAATTTTATTTTTACAATTTTTACATTTGTTTTTAGTTTAATTATAATTATATTTTTTTGATAATTGTCAACTAAATTCATTAACATTTAATGGTCATGTTAATAGTATTTTTTTTAAGTTATTACCTTTAATAATCATACAAAATAAATAAAAAACATAAATCACTTGTGAGTTTATTTTTTAATAACAATTAAAAAAGAAAAATTAAGTTTTTATGTAAAAATATAAATACTAAAAATAGTTATATCTTTCTTGTTTAAAAATTATAATATTAGTATGTTTTTATTTTTATTCTCTTAAGGCTAATTTTCAATCTAGAAAATACTATGAGAATGAGTTTTAATAATTTATATACATATATTTACTTATTTATTATTTGACGGTAGGAAAAAGTTTAGAAAACAAAATATTTTTCATCACTATTGAATGAAACGAACCTTAGCACGAAACTTAACAACATGAGAATTATATTTACTCACACACTTGTTCACGCATTACTTGGACAGTTTGAAAAAAAAAAGTGTTATCACTGTTTTAAAGAATTTATTAAAAATATAATTAATAAGAAAAAAAAAAATTTAGTGAAAGTGGATGAAAAATAAAACTATGACACGGTATACAACCTGGTAAACATGTTAACAAAAAAATCATTAATTTACCCCCATTCGTTTTTTTAAGAGACTCTCAAAGGCTTTTTATGGTCTTTAATATAATATTTTATAAATGTGTAAAATATTGATTTTTTTTATACTTACTTTCATAAATAGTTTTTAATTTTTTTTAATAATTAATATAATAATATAGCTTTTTATAGTTAATTTTTTAATTTATATAATTTAGTTTTAAAAGTCTTGTAAATAAAATCGGATATAGTAAAAAAATTGTTATTTATGAAAAGAAAGTATGTTAATTTGAAAATCAAGGAAAGAGATAAACAAGGATATGTAATCTCAATTCTTGGCTCCTTGTCAAAGATTGTCTTGATGTGTGATGTATTGGTAAGTAAAAATCCAGAAAACGCAGCATTTGTTAAATAAATGTTATGACTATTACTCTCTTAAGATACTATTTGTTAAGAAAAAATTAAATCATATTTTAGGAATTTCAAAATTTTATTTTTAGTTAATTGTACTTTTACTCAAAAGGTATATATTAAACGCATTGGTTAACATTTATTAAAAAGTAGCAAAAATGAAAAAAAAAAAAAAAAAAAAAGGAAAAGAGGAAAGCAAGTGCAGAGGTGAGAAGAGAGAATGAGGAAGAGAAGAAGTGACTGATATCATTCACTGAAGCAAACACAAAAAAAGAACCTTTGGATCCCAAAAAAGCCATATTTTTTCCCACCCACTTTCTCTCTTCCCAAACACCGCCGTATTTCGCTTTCTCCTTTCTTTTTCTCTGTTCCATACTTCTCTTCATTTTTTTTTTCTTTTTAAAATCTTATCTTTTTTCTCTCTATCCTTCATAAAAGTGACAGACAGACAGACAGAGAGAAAGAGAAGAACTGTTAGAGAGAGAGAGAGAGGGTCTCATTCAGTGTTTCTCTTTTGTTGTGGGATTGCATTTTCACCAATGGGAGCTCGTTGCTCTAAATTCTCCCTGTGTTGGTGGCCATCTCATATCAAATCAAACCTTCATGACTTGTCTGATAATGGTGACCATTTTTTTTTCTCACTTCATTAGTCACTTTCTATGAACAGAAGAACAAAAGCAAGGTGATTTCAGTGTAAAGTTTTGTTTTTTTGACAAGGATTCGGTTGTGGGTGCAGATGATGATGGGAAGAAGAATGAAAAAGATTCTTGGGCTGTGTTCACTGAGTACAGTTTGGATCAGCTGAAAGTTGCCACTTCAGGATTTTTACCAGACAACATTGTCTCAGAGCATGGTGAGAAGGCTCCCAATGTTGTCTACAGAGGAATGCTTGAAGATGATAGGTTGGTTGCTGTGAAGCGCTTCAACAAGTCTGCTTGGCCTGATTCTCGACAATTCCTAGTTCGTGCTGCTTTCTTTTGCTTTTCTTGCATGAGTGTGATTGTGTTTTTGTGAGTGCAAGTTTATGTTTGATTTTTGGTTTGGTTTGGACTTCTTGGTTTTGTTTTAGGAGGAAGCACGGGCAGTGGGGCAGCTAAGGAATGAAAGATTAGCTAACTTGGTTGGGTGTTGCTGTGAAGGAGAAGAGAGATTGCTTGTTGCAGAGTTCATGCCTAATGAAACTCTCTCCAAACATCTCTTTCATTGTGAGTTTCCATTCATTTATTTATCTACCTTACATTTCTGTAATTGTCAACGAGGAAGAAAGATCTAATTTTGCTGTCATTGTTGAAACTTGAAACTCTATGCTTGACATGGATAAGGCATTTAGCTTTAGAAGTTACATTAAGAGCTAAATCTGAGTAATTTGCTTCCTCAATTTCATCCCCGTTTTTGTTAACATAGTTTGTGAAATATTATCTCATACAAATTCCCCGATTTTGTGATTTTTATGAATGCTCTGGCAGGGGAAACTCAGCCCATGAAATGGGCAATGAGGCTGAGAGTGGCCTTGTATTTAGCACAAGCTTTAGAATACTGCAGCATTAGAGGAAGGGCATTGTACCATGATCTTAATGCTTATAGAGTTTTGTTTGATCAGGTACTTCAGCTTTTAACTGGTTTTGTGCCTTTCTTATTTATGTTTTATCAAGTATCAACTATCTCTGACATGGTACCAATGGTGGACAGGAAGGCAATCCTAGACTCTCTTGTTTTGGACTCATGAAAAACAGTAGAGATGGCAGAAGCTATAGTACAAATTTAGCATTCACTCCTCCCGAGTACTTAAGGACAGGTAAAGTGGCTAAGGCCAAGAAAAGTATAAGTATACCATATTTTTCAATTACTTTCTCTTGGCGTTATAGATTTAATTTTTTTCAAAAACTTGGTGCATTCTTATTTATTCAATTCCCTAACTGAGCTAACTTGTGTTTGGTATTTGGCAGGAAGAATCACCGCAGAAAGTGTAGTTTACAGTTTTGGTACCCTATTGCTTGATCTTCTGAGTGGAAAGCATATCCCACCCAGTCATGTATACCCTCCCTCCCCCCATTTCTTGTCTTAATTTTAATTTAAGGTGGTATTTTGTTCAGTAAATCTTTGGCTTGTTGCAATGTTGTATGCTGGTTTGGCTTAAAATGATCATAGCATATATAGAACATAAATGAATAGGTATGATAATCCCTTTACATGCAGGCACTTGACCTTATACGAGGCAAAAATTTTCTGTTGCTGATGGACTCATGTTTGGAAGGTCATTTTTCAAATGATGATGGAACTGAGTTAGTGCGATTAGCTTCACGTTGTTTACAATATGAACCACGTGAGAGACCAAATGTTAAGTCACTTGTGACTGCTCTAACCTCTCTTCAGAAAGAAACTTCAGTATGCTCTTCATTTTCACTCTCTGATTTTGTCTCAAGTTGTTCTATTACAAGTTAATCGAGATTCATAGTTTACTTGGTTGACTGGTACATATTGATGAAGCAGTTGGAAACATAAATTTATTTGATATTTGGTTTACAGCTTGTGGTATTTTGCAGGTACCATCATATGTTTTAATGGGCATACCAGATAGGAATCTGTCATCAAAGGAAACAGTTTCATTGATGCCTTTTGGTGAAGCTTGTTCAAGAAGAGATCTGACCGCAATACATGAACTTTTGGAAAAGGTGGGCTACAAGGATGATGAAGATGTTGCAAATGAGGTAATTCATTGTTTCTATTTCTTCCTCTATTAGACTTTCTTTCAGAGAATGCCGTTAACTGTATGAGGCTTTTTTTGTCTGTTCACAAAAAATTTGAAATCTGCTAGATGTTTTTGTGTTGTCACACACACACAAACACATTGTGACATGCTATTGAGTTTAACATCCCATTTTTCAGTTTTCAATGTGAAACTTTTTAACTGTCTCCTTGAAGTCTTATCTTAAATTTTTTATACTATGGATTTCCTGTTGGCTCAGTTTCTTTGAGGTCAATGTTTAATGAACTGCTAGATGTTTCTTTCTGTGTTAAAAACACATTCTTATAACACCATCTGCATTTGTTTACTGACAGGCATGATCTTTCTAAATGACATCGATCATGGGGTAACTAAAGGCATTGTGTTGTAAATCTTATCCATGACAAATTAATACCTTTGGTTTCTTCATTCTAGGAAATGCCATCTTGTGGTTCTGATTCTGATTTTCCATTACTATCACTTTCGGGGGAAAAAAATGATGCTGTAGCATACGGCAAAAGAATGTCTTGTTTTCTAATTCTTCAATGTTTCTTAGCAAAGCTGGACCTTCCTAAACCTTGTAAAATGATATTTATGGAGTTGTTTCCTTTCATTGTTTCACAGCTGTCCTTCCAAATGTGGACAAATCAAATACAAGAAACTCTAAATTGTAAGAAGCAAGGCGATTCTGCTTTTCATGCCAAAGACTTCTCTATGGCCATTGAATGTTATACACAAGTAAGTCAGCTAGAAATGCCAGGAATAGGTTATCCGCACAAATAATTAAATGTCTTTCAATTCTTTGTAACGTCATGCTATTGCAATTCTACAATTCTGCAAAATAAATAAATACTTTTCCATGTCAATTTAATGAAATATTTATTGTCATGTTTGACAAAGCTCTTTTACTAGATTGAACCTTTTGTCTACAACAAGAATCATGGGTTGGTAAAGGGATCATTGCTATGCAACGATCCATAAGCCTTTGAAATTTAAAGTTTATGATCCGTTTTAAATGTATCTACAAGTGCCCAGAATAAACCATACCAACACCATAGAACATATGTTCCCCTCCATCATTGTAAATAAAGATTGATTAGCACTTAATGGTTAACCACCATGTTGACCTTCTCTTGTTAGAATTTCACAATACTTGTTTTGTGTAGTTCATCGATGGTGGGACCATGGTATCACCAACTGTGTATGCCAGGCGCTGCTTATGCTACCTGATGAATGACATGGCACAAGAAGCGCTTGGAGACGCCATGCAAGCTCAATCGGTATCTCCCACATGGCCAACTGCATACTATCTTCAAGCAGCTGCTCTCTTCAGCCTTGGCATGGACAATGATGCACAGGAAAGTCTTAAAGATGGCACAACACTGGAAACAAGGAAGTATAGAAATTGAAACTGTATAGGCTTTTCCTTTCTTCTCCTTTCTCCCTCATTGATCTAGCAAAATTTTTAAATATTACTATTAGCTGTATGTAATTTATCTTTTTCTTAGCATCTCCAATATGCTTCAGACTCTGATTGCTACAGCTATGGCCACCCTGCATTCTCTCGTATTTTTGGCCCAATGCTGTGAATCTCAAATTCCTCAGATTCTTATAAAGATGTCATTTCTCTTCAGCCATTCCCTCCTACCCAACTCACATGATTTCTAATCTAACCAATTTCATGAATACATTAAATTTTCAATAATGTTTATCTCATACCCTCCTTTTTAGGGGTGAGTGTGTGAGATGGGTAGAAGAGAGAAAAAATAAAGAATGAAAATGAGATGCGATGGAGAAACAAGAGTGATTGAAAGAGGTTAAGAGATGAAATATACATACAAGAGAAAGTGAATTAAAAAAATCAGAAGTTCTAAATTTTAGATTCTTTCCAACTTTAAGGTTACAAGTTAATCCATGACTTTTTTTTAGTGATATGACATTTTATGATGAATAATTGTGTAACTTGGATACTATTATTCTCAGAAGTTTCAAACAAGGTGGTGTTTCATTTTCTTTTCTACGAAAACTATTTTCTAATCATACACGTTATTTTACTTTGTGGCAGATATTATGTAATGTAAGCAATAAAGATTAGTAAAAATGGACTCAATTTTTATTTAAGTGGTGAAGGATGGCAGAGGCGATCTCACAGCACGGCATAACACTCAAATTTTGCAGTTGCTTTGGTTATAACCTAAGTACCATGGGGAACAAATTAAAAAGCAATAGAGCATTGTGAAGAAGAAACAAATATATTACAAAAATAATAGATATAATTTTTTTTTTAGAAAAACATAATTATTTATATAATGAATTTATTTGAAATATATTAACAATATAGATATATTTTACGCTGTTATTTGATCATAAATTGTTATATCATTAAAAATTATTGGCTTCTATAATAATTATTTTAAAAGTTATATAATTTTTAATTAGCTAACAATGTATGTAATTATTATGTTGACAATATGTCAAAATTAAATTATTATATGTTTGCCTGAAAACGAGATGATTAGTACATGATAAAACTTAATTATCAGGTATGAAATTTGATTTTTATGTTTGAAATATGAAATTCTAGCATAAAATGTATAAGCTATGAAACTCTAACTACAATAGATAGCTTTTGGAGTATTATTTTTTTAAAAATTTTATTAGCACATTCCCAAAAGTTAACTGTGGACTTGGACTTCACCATAAATATTATAATTTTTTTAATATATGTAATATTACACATAATACAAATATATATAATAAGTTTTTATAAAAATTTTAATATTTTAATATTTTAATAAAAATTTATTATATTAATTTATTATCATGCGTAATATTACATTTATAATAATATTACATTAGTTAAAAATAAGTTATAAACATTAATCCGTTGCCAAACAATAATACCGACCTCGTAATATTCAACAACAGATAGGTGGCACTTGCCATTTCACATGACAAACGTAGATTATGGTGTTCATTGTCTATACTAACATCAAAGCTAGTAAAGTAATGCTAGACAATACCTATTTGACCAATGAATGCTGTGTTAACCAGTGAAGCAACACAACAATAGCCAATAAGACGGAAATCGACAATTGCATAAGAAGAATATCAATTAAACACGATTACTCTGAATAAAAAACTAAAATTAATGAGGTTAAAGCCACCCTAGTCCCTACAAAATGCTTTCCTCTTAATAAATAAGATCTGGCAAGGGAGGGGGAATTGGAATTGAAAGAAGAAGAAGCTCCCACCTAGCATCTGTAAAGAAATTGAAAAATGGGAATTCTCCTCCCATCTGATAAAGGAATTCACCCATCTTTTCTAGCCATATCTAGGAATCCACTGAACAACAATGATCCCACAATGAAAGAATATTAAATGAGCTCCAATAGCTAAAAAAATGCATTGATTATTTTATTTACATTGATTGCTTGAATGCTAAGATATCATAATTCAATAGTTGCAGAAAAACCATAAATTCTCCATATTTATTTTGTTAGGTACCCGCCAGAAAGTCAAAGTTTAAGGGAATACGTGTCAAGGAAGAGTGATCAGCTCAACAATGACGAAAAGTTGATTAAGAAGTGCTTAGAATGTATCTCAACTAGACCCACTGGGATAAAAACAAAACTTTGGAAACGATTCAATGAAATAATATAATAAAAAAGGAAGAAGAAAAATTACCTATCTCACTTTCAGAGAAAGTTCACAGGAAATTTCCTTTGAAACATCTTTCAAACGGAGAAAAGTTGGACGATTGAGGGTTGAAACCGAAACCTCAGTCTGAGTGGAAACTGGAAAAAGAGAGTAACAGACCCATCACCAACCCGCAATTCCAAATAAGACAAAGAATGACAGCAACTAATACTTAATTGCCTTTCGGATTCTCCCTATGACAGCATCCAATACAAATGCTGCATGTCACGTCATATACTTGCACTTTCTAGCTTTGAAACACCGCACTGAAACATTTAATGTTTGCTTTGAGATCTGAAACAGCAATAAAAGCTATAGAGCTAGCATGCCTCATGCAAATATCATCATATACCAATACATTCGTGCGATCATGGGGTAGGAAGAAGAACACTAGAACATAACAAGTAGATAAAGTTTTGGGCTAGCAATGGCATAGACAGTTTGTTATGTCCTAAAAGCTGCCATAACTTGTTGTCCATGAAAGCAGTTTCGTTAGCTACCACAGTTGTTGTTTGTCATACATAGGTGGAACATGTGGCAGTTTAGACAAAAGTGGCAGTGCCAACTCTTGCATATAGTGTCCAGAAAATCACTACCATCTCTAGGAAACAAAGAAAGGGAGAAAAATGATATCATGAACACCTAATGCTTGTGTAAGGCAAAGTAAAATGAAGCTTTTCGTGACTGACTGTTGATGTTGGAGAGATTTGGAAGTGCATTCTGGCTGCTTTCACAATTTTCTTATGTTGTCGTCGTTACTTAAGTTGTCTAGTTATTGCCAACTTGGGGTTATGACCATATTTAGTGCTTTTTAATTATAATGATGGTGTTAGTGCTTCTCAATGCTCAAATAAAAATGTTTATACAAAAGAATATTATTAAATAATACAGTTTTATTAAACGAAGTGGTTAATACATTAATATACAAATAGCAAAAAATAAAATAAAATACATTAATATACAAAATATCTTTTTAAATAGAATAAAAATATATTAATAACATTAAATATTAGATGGCTGATCATTCTCTAGCAACTTTTTTTTTTAATTTTCAACTTCTCCGTAAATACGTTTCTTCTATGAGAAAAATTGCTTTTAAACCGGAAGACATCTGGTATTTACTTCATCATTTAAACAGTTTTTTTTAGGTCGAGGATATTAAAACTATCTACCCTACGCATCCAAAATATTCCCGTAAATTATCAACAATGTTATCCACGTACGTCTAGTTCCGAAATAGTATTCAGAAAGAAAAATGTTCATGCATTCAAAAATTACTATCGAATAACTTTTCTCTCTCTACTCTACCGACTTCATTGTTTTAAAAGTATTTTGTTATTCTTTCTACCGATAATTATATCCTTGAACACGTTCAAAAATCGCATATTAGATTAACAGCATTGAAAAGCACGCTCTGTACAGCAACGTTGATAAAGACATGGCTAACGAACATAGTAAAATACGTGTGAAAAAGACGACCAAGTGCACGAAAAATTCACTTTTAACTCTGAGGAGTGCGGAACATTCCCTCACGGCAAAATGGAACGTTGGGATATCCCAAAAGAATTTGCTAAACAGATAGCGATAACTGCCAAATTTCAGCTACATATTGCCATCCCAAACAAGAATATAACAATTGTTCGGCAAAATTAAGGAAAAACCCATTCAAGGCATACAACTACAACATTCCACCATATCCTGAATAGCAGGATGTCCTTACATTTCATAAATAATGTAAATGTTCTACCCAAGATCTAAAATGATCAACTGTATCCAGGTACCGCCTAAATCTCCATCAAAACCTCCCGAAAATTATTTCTAGAAAGAATCGGAAAATGATTATTTAATATAAGAATGTGTGCAAAAATCTTCAATTAGAAAATTTGTGTAGGCAAATTTATATAATGGGTCCTTTACCACAACCCAATGGCTTTCCACCAAACTCCTCCAAGCCCAAGCCAGATTATAATGTTAACAATACTAATGAGGAACCCATAACCCCACCATTTAGCAAGGGGAACATAGTTGGCACCGAAAAACACAGGAGCTGATCCAATTCCATAATGAGTAAGACCGCCCATAAGGTTGGAGAGGAAGGACAGTACTATGGCTCCAAAGAATGGAGGGGTCCCTAGAGCCGTGGCAACAGACAAAAATGCAGTAAACATGGCACCAATATGAGCAGCTCCACTTGCAAAGAAGTAATGGGTGTAGAAGTAGAGAAGGACTAGAATCCCAAAGGATAGTTGCCATGATAGACCCAATCCACCAACGAACTGTATAAATAACGATAGCAAATCGTTCATTAAAATAATCAAGGAACATAATAAATTATTCTAATAATTTGTCAAAATGGAAAATTATTTATACACATTGCACAATGTAAGTTCTCTTTTGCTGGAGCATTTTCTGGCAAGTATGCATACCACAAATCTGGAAGGTACCAACGATACAAGGTACGTGTGCAAATTATTACTACTTCAAGTCCTATTTATAAGAAACAATAACTAATTTTCTTGTCCTAAATATAAGAAACAAAGATTCTTTTTCATATGCATTATTTACTAAGTTATTTTTATACCTTTATTTATTATGAGATTTGTGTTAATGAGGTATTAACCTTTTATTCAATGAGGTATTAACCTTTTATTCATAAAAGTGGATATATTCATTTATTTAATATATAATCCATTAATTTAACCATTTAATACAATTAGTATTTTTGGAATAGAGTATAAATTAATGACATATAATGACTTTTTATTAGTTTTGATGAATTGGCTACTTGTTTCTTATAAATAGGACCGGAAGTAGTATAATAATTAAAGAGCCTTTCTTCAGTGGCACTTATCAAGCTTTGACCATGAAGGTGATGTTGATAAACTAAGAAGTAGGAATAAAACAGAGAAACGAAACAAGATGCATAATGAAGACTTTATTCCAAGAGATTAACTCCAGACAAACAAATCAATCATTGTATACTAGAGACAAGTATTTCCAATAATCATATGCAGTTTGAAAGGTTGATTAGCTTCTTCTGCACATTTCAAAAAATGAAACAGGTTCCAGTGTTTGGTTGGTTTGGTGAAACAACTAGAACAATTTGATAATGATAAAGTTAAATACATTATCAAACGAAAAAACCATGCATTCACTATTTCACCCAAAGAACAGATAAAAGCCCAAAGAACTAGAGATCAAATATTGGGAGCAGCATAAGTTATGTTAAAATACCTTAACTACTGTTTGACTGAACCAAGAAATGAGACCATATTTGTTCAAATACCCAGCCATTGCAATGAGAGCAGCAAACCATGTAAGAGTATCCCAAGCAACTCCTTCAGCCAAGCACTCCTTCCATGTTACAACCCCAGTAACAAGAAGTACAGCTAATCCAAGAATTGCAGCAGATACAGCATCAATGTTAAGAAGCCCCCCAAAAACCCAAAGTCCAACCTGGTAATCAATAGAGAGAACAAGTTACCAAACAATTGAACACACTCTCAGTCAATAAAATACCACATAAGTATTCACCTTATTCAACTACTACCAAAATGATTAGTTTCAATTCACCTTAATCCACAATAAATCTAAAATATGCCATTTGAATTGATTTGATTACCGTGAGAAACAGAGTAGCGGTCATGATCTTCTCATGGGCCGTCATGGGCCCCATCTTCTCCAACTTCTCCCTAGCAAGCTTGGGAGCATCAGGGCTTGTTTTCAGGGTAGGAGGGTATATAACATACAAGATCAACGGCACCAACACCAACGAAGCCAACCCAGGCACGATCGCCGCTTTCGCCCAATCCAACCACCCAATGGTTTGGTTGATCGAGTTCAGTGTCAGAGTCGCACAGAGGGGATTCGCCGCCATTGCTGTCAAAAACATCGCCGATGTAATCACCGAAGTCTGAAAGCAAGTAAGCATCAACCACGACCCCAATTTGTTCTCCGTTCCGTCGCCGACGTTACTGCCACAAGCCACACACAGTGATTTCACCAACGGAAGAAAAATCCCACCCGCTCTCGCCGAAACCGAAGGAATAGCCGGTGCCAACAACGCCTCGCTGAAAACCAAGCTGTAACCTAACCCTAACGAGGAGCTTCCGAAGAGCGAGACGAATTGGTAAGCCACGCGGTTTCCGAGGCCGGTTTTGATGAATCCCTTGGCGAAGAAGAAGGCGAGGCAAATGAGCCAGGGAATGGGGTCGCCGAAGCCGGAGAAGGCCGCGACGAACGTTAGGGTTTTGGTGAGAACCGAAACTCCCAACCCTAATATGGCGACGGCGCCGAGGGGTAACGGTTGCGTGATAATGCCGACGATTGTGCCTAAGAAAATCGCCAGCAATTGCCACGCGTTACGGTTAACACCGGCGGGAACGGGAACGAACCAGAGTATAACTCCTGTAGCTATGGAAGCTAATAGGGGTTTTATGGCGGCACCTTGCCATGGCTGAGCCGGAGGTGGAACCGGCGCCGGAGCCGGAGTTATAGAAGCGGCTGAGGCTGAGGCTCTGACGGTGAGAGTGAGGGGTTTCCGATGAAAGGGTTTAGCTGGGAATGATGAGATGGATGAAATGGAAGGGAAAGGGTTTGGTTTGATGGGTTTGAGAGTGGTGGAATGGCGTAGCGGTGGTGGATTGCGGCGGAGGCGGAGGGAGGGGAGGGTGGTGGCGGAGGCTGTGAGCGCTATGGAGGCCATGGGGTTGCGCGCGATTGGGATCTGGTGAGGTGGTGACGATGGAAGCTTAATAGAGTAGCAGCATGTGATGTGGTGGGAGAGGGGTTTGAGTTTGGGACGTCGGATTTGGAACGGACGGTGGAGATTGTGATTGGAATATGCGGCGTTGTTTGTTGGTGAGAAATTGGTGGCTTGTGTGCCCTATCGGCTTTGTGATTGCCGTCTGAGATGTCGATATCTCCGCCACAACTGTAAACACTCTCTGTGTCAGCGAAATGAATGAGATCTTCTTCTGCTCAAACGCAGGCAACACGTGGCGTTAAGTCAATGGATGCGTATCCACGTCGGATTGTTGCTTTTGCGTGAAATGGACTCCTCAACACGTGCTCATTGGCCCAATCAATGAAATAACATCTTTGGGGCTTTTCCAGTGTATAAAAGGCCACATAAAGTTTTAAAGAACCCAACCCAACTCTCAAAAGTCAAAAGTCACCACTGCGAATCTCAGATTTTTGGCTCTGAATCAAATACTGTGAATGTCTGTGGATTGTGTGCCCAGAAATAGAAAATGGCAATGGTTCCATTATTTATTATTTTTCGATACTGAAGAATTTGCCTCTTTCAATGGTTAACAAAAAAACATAACATCAAGTCTCTCAATACCTTGTGTGTTTTACGCTAATGGGAGCCTTTAACTCTTTTATCCATTTCGAACCTTTTACATTGTTTTCACCAAAAAAAATTAAATTAATTACCTTGTGTATCATTATTAATAATAATATTTACAAAATTTTAATTCTTAATGTTGGTTAATATGCCTTGAAATCATCAATAGTCAGCTTTGATCCTTCATTTTAGATCAAGCTTGTGGGCTTTAAGTTAGTTAGTTAAAATTAGTTGACATTTTTTTTTATTGGAAAAATGTTATTTTTAGTTGATGGTGCTATACCTATAAATAACAACCTCTCATCTTTTATAATTAGACTCTCTTTTTTTTCAACTAAATAACAAAGAGATTACTGTCACTCCGTGGATGTAGCTCAATTTGAGTGAATCATGTAAATCGTGCTTATGTTTTTCTTGCCGCTAATCTTAACAAATTGGTATTAAGAGTGCAATGGTTGCAATTTGGGAATAATTCAATCTTAGTGTTTTTTTTTTTCCCAAAAGATTGCGGTTTCATTTTTTTTTCTTGATCTAAAGCTTGTGTGTTCTTTTGAAACTTCCGCTGTTGTGATTAGATTAAGAAGAACAATCAAAAGTCGTGTCTAACACCATCAAGATAGAGAAATTTAATGGAAAAACAGCTTTAACTTGTGATGTATCAAAATGCATGCATTGCTAAAGGAACAACGGGTGTGGACTCCTTTGACTTTTGTAGCTGTAAAGAAAGATGAATCAAAAAGTTCAAAGGATAAAGGAGTTTCTATAAAAAAAAAAAAAATAGGATTTAGTTGAACAAGAAGAAAAGACTCATTCCTTAATCTTGCTTTCACTGTTAGATGAAGTGCTTTATGAAGTGACAGATTAAGAAACTGCAAGTGGCTTATGGTTAAAGTTGGAAAAGCACTACATGACAAAGTCAATTTGCAACAAACTCTTGTTAAAGAGATGTCTGTTTGGTCTGCACATAAAAGCAGGTACTCCTCTAAAAGATCATCTTGATGGAACTTCGTGACATTGATGTGAAAATTGAAGATGAGGATGCTGCCATGATTCTGTTAGCTTCACTTCCTCTATCGTATAAGAGTTTTGTCAATTCTCTCAGTGTCAGAAAAGAATGCATTTATATGGGAGAAGTGAAATCTAGCCTTTATTCAAGAGAATTTCAATTGAAGGCATCATCAAATGCAGAAAAAGGGAATGGTGTTGGTCTAACAGTTTCTAACACAGCCAAGAATGGCAAGAAGAAAGAAAGAAAAGAATAAGAAGAAAGGCCACCAAAATACAAAGGGTGTGAATCCAAGAGATATCTGTAATTATTGCAAGGAACTTGGTCATTGGAAGAAAGACTGTCCAAGAAGAAGAATCAGAAACTATCTACAGTCACTATTTAAGAAGCTTCCTCGTCAAAAGGTGATCTAGTTCTATCCATTGATGACAAGCCACAAGCTTCTTCTGATCAATGGATATTGGACTCATGCTGTTCTTATCATATGTGCCCCAATAGAAGTTGGTTCTTGAAATATGAAAGAAAATAAGGAGGAAGTGTTTTCATGGAAAATGATATGAAATGCAGGATTAGTGGTATTGAGACGGTTCAAATTATGCATGATGGAGTAATCAAAACTCTCACAAAAGTTAGACATATACCTGATTTGAGGAAGAACCTAGTATCAATAAGAGTACTTGATTCAAAGGATTTCAAAAGCAATACTGAAGGTAGAGTTATGAAGATTAGAAAAGGGTTTAATGTTGTCATGAGATGTGTCAAACATAGAAATTTCTATATGTTGCAAGGATCAATTGTTCTAGCTTCATAATCTGTCTCAGTGGCTGACAAATAAGTACCAGATCATACACTACTCTGACATATGAGACTTGGCTACATGAGTGAGAAAGGGATGATGTTTCTTACCAAACAAAGGCTGTTAGGAAGTCATACACTAACAAAATTCAAGTCTTATGAACACTGTGTTTTTGGAAAGCAGCATAGGATAAAGTTTCCAAAAGCACAACACACCACCAAATCCACTTTGGATTATGTGCATTCAGATTGTTGGGGACCATCCAGGGTTCCCTCACTTGGTGGTGGTAGGTATTTCCTCTTATCATTGATAACTATTCAAGGATGACTTAGATATATATAATGAAACACAAGAATCAAGCATTCAAGCATTCAAGTTCTTCAAAGAATGGAAAGTGTTGATAGAGAATCAGATTGGGAACAAAGTGAAAAGGTTAAGAACAGACAATGGTCTAGAATTCTACTTCACTAAGTTCACAAACTACTATAAAGAGAAAGGTGTTTCAAGGTAATATATAGTTAGAAATACACCTCAGCAGAATGAGATAGCTGAAAGAATGAATAGAACCTTACTTGAAAAAGTAAGGTGCATGTTGTCCAATGCTGGTCTCAGCAAAAACTTTTGAGCTGCAGCAGTAAACACGGCCTGCTGCTTAATCAACATGTCATCCTCCACTGCCGTAGGTTGTAAAACACCTTTTAAGGTATGGTCACACAAACCTGCAAATTATTCAAATATTAGAATCTTTGGTTGCAATGCTTATTATTATTTCAATGAGGGCAAACTAGAACCTAGATCTAAGAAAGGTCAATTTATGAGTTATGGTGATGGGGTAATGGGCTATAGAATTTGGTCTCCTGTTGAGAAAAAGATCATTCTTAGTAGAGATATTATTTTTTATGAAACTCATATGTTTCACCCGTGATTGGAGTTAACAATTTCAAGTAAAGATCAGGATATTGCTAAGATAACTGAAATTGAGGACTCCTCAAGTACTTATCAGGACAAGAATCAGGCAACTAAATCTGATGAAGAGACTTAGTTGGAACAATAAAAAAAGGAAACAACAAATTCTCAAGAAACAAACTCATCTACTCAACCTGAATCTGAAAACATTCAGAGGCCTAAAAGGACAATCAAACCCCTCGTGAGATATGGCTTTGAAGACATAGTTGCCTATGCTCTATATATTGTAGAAGAAGTAGATTCATCAGAACCTACCAATTATAAAGAAGCCATTAATCACAAAGATTTAGACAAATGAATTCTAGCCATGAGAGAAGAAATGGAATCCCTCTTGAAAAATCAAACTTGGAAACTGATTAAACAACCTAAAGGTAGACACATAGTTGGCTGCAAGTAGATATACAAGCTCAAAGCTAGAATTACAGATGTTAAGCCAATAAAATACAAAGCACGGCTAATGGCAAAAGGGTTTAGTCAAAAAGAGGGTATAGATTATAATGTTCTTACAAGTTGTAAGACACATCTCCATTAGAGTTCTATTAGCTCTTGTAGCATGTCAAAATATGGAATTGGAGTAGTTAGATGTTAAAATTGCCTTCTTATATGGAAGACTTGAAGAAGACATCCTAATGTCTCAACTTAAAGGTTTCACTGCTAAAGGGAAAGAGGATCATGTGTGTCAACTTTAAAGGTCTTTCTATGAGTTAAAGCAATCCCAAAGACAATGGTACAAGAGATTTGACAGTTTTATGACCAGCTTAGGGTTCAAGAGAAGTCCATATGAATGTTGTGTCTACCATAATAAGGTAGATAATGGAAATGTCATATATCTATTTCTCTACGTAGATGATATGCTTATAGCTTCTAAAGTCATGTCATCCATACATAATTTGAAAAAACTTCTCAGTGGAGAATTTGATATAAAGGACCTAGGTTCTTCTAAAAAAATCTTAGGTATGAAGATCTACAGAAACAAAATTTAGAAAAAAATATTTTTTGTCTTAGAAGGATTACATCAATAAGATTCTAAATAGGTTTGGCATGAGTAATGCCAAGGCCCTAAGCACACCCCTATCAGGAAAAGAGAAACTATCAGCTATTTTTCAGTCTCTATCTCAAGAAGATGAAAAATACATGTCCAAGGTTCCCTATGCTAGTGCAGTAGGTAGCCTAATGTATACCATGGTGTGTACAATGCCAAACCTAACTCATACAGTCAATATAGTTAGCAGGTTTCTCAAACAACCTCAAAAGAAGCATTGACAAGTAGTAAAGAGAATCTTCAAGTATTTGAGAGGTACTGTAGATGTTGATCTCATCTATGGAGCTAACACAAACTGCATTATTGTAGGATATTCTGATGCAGACTATGCTGCAGATTTTGATGGAAGAAGGTCAACTACAGGGTATGCATTCACTTTAAGAAGTTGTCTAGTCAGTTGGAAGACAACTTTGCAATCATCAGTTGCTCTCTCTACCACAAAAGCAGAATACATGGCCTTAACTAAGGCAGCTAAAGAAGGAATCTAGTTAAAAGGACTGGTCTTTGATTTAGGCATCACTCAAAAGTATGCTCTCATCTTTTGTGACAGCTTAAGTGCCATATGTCTTGTCAAGGACCAAGTACATCATGAAAGAACCGAACACATAGATGTGAGGTACCATTTCATTCAGATAGAGAAAAGGATTAAGGTGCAAAAGATTCACACAGCTCACAATCCTGCAGAGATGTTCACTAAACCAGTTCCCAAGAGCAAGTTCATGCATTGCCTTGACTTGATTAATGTTGATAAGTGGGGATAATCCTCTATGATGGATGACAGCACAACATAACTTGAAGGTCCTACAAAGTTCTTCATCTCAGTGCATGATGGTTTAAGCTCAAGGTAGAGGATTATTGGTTAATATGCCTTGGAACCATTAATAATTAGCTTTGATTCCTCATTCTAGATCAAGCTTGTGGGCCTCAAGTTAATTAGTTAGTTAAAGTTAGTTGATATTTTTTTTTAATTGAAAAAGCTGTTATTTTCAGTTGATGGTGCTATACCTATAAATAGCAACCTCTCATCCTTTGTAATCAAATTCCATTTTTTTTTCAACTAAATAACAAAAGAAATTACTGTCACTCGTGGATGTAGCTCAACTTGACTGAACTACATAAATTTTACTCGTGTTTTTCTTATCCTCTAATCCTAATAGTTAGGTTGGTCTAATGGTTGAGTCATGACTAACTAGAGTGATTATAGCAAATCATGATTGCAGTTAATACAAATCCACTTTATTTGTCCTCTAAATTTATAATTATGATTTTAAAAAATTACAAAAAAACATGTAATTGTTATTTAGTTTGAGAATTGCTTCTTCTAGGATGAAGATTTGTGTAAAGTGAAAAAGTAATAATTTTTTTTATTTTAAAATTAGTTATATTTATAAAATATTTAAATTTAAATTAATGATATATAAAAATCATTACTTTCTTACTTTGCATCGTTTACATTTCTCTTTTATATTTATGCTACAAAAGTTATTATTTTCATGAGAAATTTATGTTGGTTTTTATGGATTTTCCCAACGGAACATGTTTTAAGTTATTTTAAACTATATATACGTTATTTTTGTCACAATGTCTAGGAAATTGACAGGTTATATATTTTTCTTCCCATAGCATTTTATTTGACATGTAAAGATATCCATAACACACTTTATAATTGAAGCTATGTATCATACATTTAGTATAATCAATAAACTCATAGTTGGCTTTTGAAAACATTAGTTAAAAGAAATACATATTACCCACATAATCCCCCCCCCCCCCCCCCCTCCCCTTTTTTTTGGGTCAAGAAATTCTCCATTTTATTGAGCTTAATCCATTTTTCAATAGTTGGGCTACATGGCCTGTTATCATACACGTCATTACTTCAGATCTATGCGAAAAGTAATTGGGCCTAGGTCTACGAGAGCCTGGTTGAGATGCAAATATTTGATAACGTTTTTCAACAAAGAGAATGTGCATTTTTTAAATGACAGAAGAAAAAAGACAATGTTTTTCCTGATTTTTATCTTCTATTTTTTTTTTCCAGACGAAAAACAAAACGGAGGCAACTAGAAATTAAGGATAATCATTGAACTCTCATAAACTTTTTAGTTATTACGCTTGACATTCTTCTTGGTTTAGAAGTAAAATATGCATCTTGTAGATTGTGTTTACTAAAAGTACTTAAGAAGAGTGACCACATTCTTAATACATGTACTTGTTTATTTATTGAAACTTATTCAAAAAGTAAAAATATAAATGAAAACAGTTAAATTAGGAGGGAGATTCAAGTCATTTTTGTAATTTATAAAAAAATTTAATCAATAACAAATTAACCAATACCTCAATTTTCCGGTTTCGAATACAAGTTTGATATCCCTTAATATTAATTAACTATGTTTAGTATTCGTTTTTTGAAATAGTTTGTGAAAAAAATGTACTAAAACTCAATAAAAGATCCATGCAACGCAAGTGGAACTTGTACTATTTTCGATCATATGCAATTTCATTTTCCATTATTCAATCTATTTCTTTCTAAATGCATTATGAGAGTTGACGAGGAATAATGATAGCTACCTACATACATCCTTGATAATGTTGCAATCTTGAGATACTTCAATCAGAGCATATATTGAACATAACAATAAAGAATGATGAGAAAGCAATTTGCAAAGTGGTGGAATCAAATGGGAATATGTGCAGACAAAATAAACACGCCAATGATATAATAATTAAATACACATTATTGAACTTTGTAGACCCAAAATAATCAATGGGTTTGAGAGGGACAATTATCAAATATCTATTTTGCGAACGAGGGAAAATGTTTGGAAAAATTAAGATTAAGTGAAAGTAACCATATCAATTTTAGTCTTTTAAGCTAGATTTCGAAATAGAATATTTTAAATTTTATTTATATTAATTTGATGCTCAACAAAGTCGCTTTGGCCGAGTGGTTAAGGCGTGTGCCTGCTAAGTACATGGGGTTTCCCCGCGAGAATTCGAATATCTCAGGCGACGGTGTGTTTTGTAAGTACCCATTTTTTTTTTCTTCCACGTTCGTCAAGTACTTTTAAATAGCAGGTAATATGTTCAATAATATTATGTCAAATATTATTAATAAGAGTTTACAAATTTTTTATACAGAAACATTCGATGATTATATTAAATATATTTTATATTTTAAAATCTCAACACAAAACAATTATTTTCTGCTAAATATTTTTTGCTTTTGTATTCTTAATCTTAAGAAAATTATTTAGCATTCATTGTTCTTTCATTTTTAGTACATAACAGTGTTATAGTTATAAAATTGTATCTAAGTATTTAAAATTAGTACCTTTTTTTATTAAAAATATTTATTATATTTAAAGATACAAAAGCATAATATATTTTTTAAATAAAATTTTACTATTTTCAGTTCTTAAAATCAAATCTAAAGATTAAGATTAACAGTTTTTTTAAAATAAAATTAGCTTCAAATTTTATAGAGGACGAAGGTCCATGATTGTGAGGTTTTTTTTTTTTTAAATATATTTTGTGTATTAATTTAATAGGCCAAAGTTGCTTGAAAACAATGTCACGTTACAAACCTTAATATCCTCCTAGCAATTATAAACAAAAAGTCATTATTAATGCTACTCTACATTCGGACTATTCTCTCATATTGCACAAGCGGCTATTGAATATCAACCTAATTTTGTACATATCATTATAGTTACATAATTTTGTACTCAGTCATTTTTTCTGTACCTTCATCACATGCTTAAATATGAGACAACATGTTCAGTAAAATTATGTAGACATTGCTTTCTGTTTAAAAAATATTGATACAGAAACATTTAATAATTACATTAAATATTTTTTTTTAAAATAAACATTAAACATATGTTTTTAAGTTTTAACATAAAAATTCTTTATATATGTATATATGTGCTAATTTAATGGACCATAGTTGCTTGAAAACAATGTTACGTTACCAACCTGAATATCTTGTTAGGAATTAAATAAAAGGTGAATCATTAATGCTACTTTCCACATTCGGACTATTCTCTCGTCTATGCACAAGCAGCTATTGAATGTGTGAGTCGTCACATCGACCATAAGCAAAGTCTAATTCAATAATTACACGCTGAGTATGAAGAATGTGAGTATAAATTTATAAGACTCAGTCTAATAAAAATCACCCTCATAACAGGTTCCAATCCCCTAGCAAAAATCATTTAGCGTTCATTTATATTTTGATATTTGAGCAGGTATTTATAGGTGGAATTAAGTAGAGATGAAAATTTTAATGTTATATAATGTTTCAAACTGAATGATATCAAATACGAAATACGGCTAGTTTATATTAATCTTGGTAATTTTAATTATTCTTCTAATATAAAAGAAAAATAAAAGTAAATTAATGATTTATTGAGTAACATTAAAATGAGAGATTATTATATTGTACTAATTTTTTACTACTCTTTTCTTAATTTTCAGTTTCTCAATTAATTACATGCCTAAATTTTCCTTTTGTTAATTTCTAGGTAAAAAAGAATCTAGAATTTGGTCCTACTCGCTTTTGCCGTGAGTCATGATTCATGATTGATAAGAAAGTAGAATGGATACATTTCTTAAAAAGTAAATAAATAAAATTTATTAGTTTATTAAAACATTTGAAAATAAAATTTACATTGTAATAATTTTAATAATAAAAGAGGAAGATTTGAACTCAAAAGCAAGAGCACTTCCAATGCGGTTCGTGTACCGTACCCAGCTCTGGTTCGTTATGATGATTGATTTTAATTGATTGTGTTTTGTAGGTTAAAACAATTCTGAAACACACGTGATGATTATGGCATGGAGAGTTAATATTCCAATGGGAAATGATATCGTAAGGCACTCTCTCTTACCTATCTCCCCTTCGATAAGCCAACTTGTCATTTCATATTAAGTTGCTTTAAATTCACTTCATGATAACTATTCCATTCACAATAGCAAATTTCTCGTTGCACTGATCATTACCAATAACATTTAGCTATCTTTAAGTTGAAAACCAAAGCTGGAGTTATAATTACTCCTAGAATTCAACGGCTCAGCTTAATATGATATGAAAATCCACACACCAATTAAAAACTAATTCGACTAGGTACCCATTAACCGTGATTCATTCATCGCCATGGTGGACATATTTTATGAACGCAAATCTGATAGGTGCTTGCAAAGTTCTAAGATAGAATCATTCAACATTATGATCTTATTGGTGGCAGTCCATTTAATTTGAATAAAGGGGTTCAAAAAGTACTGCAATGCAAACTTACCAACAATTTTTGTACATCCCAGGGTAATATATTAAACAATAAAGGAGGAATATATACTTTTAAATGCTTTCTTTATATTTAGAATGTATTTTTGAGATTTGTATAGATAAAAAAAATGACAGAATTGTAAACAATATCTTGAAGTATCCACCAATAGTTGTACCGAAAATAATGTTTAACAATCTATTCACATCTAATTTTACAAGTATGACAGATTCTAACTACATTGGCATCCGGGATACAAAGTGACCTCAATTTCATCATGATGACAAATTTGCAAGACTAATTACATGATCGCCAATCCAGATATACATATGATTGACTTTTATTTCAGACCTACCTTGTTAATCAGTGAATAATTTGCTCCTCTAGTATAATGGAAAAAAAATACAAATTAATATTACAAGGTTTTAAGGAGATCACCAAATGTACCTAATAAGATGCATAGGATATATATGGTGGTGGTGGTGGTGCTGAACGTTCCAATAATGATATGCAAGCAGCCAATGGTACCTCGGAAGACTTTAAAAGGGAAATTAAAGGGAGAGCACTGATTGGATCATCAGTTTGAAAAATCAAGAAAAGGAAACGATGAAACATCTTTCATCAACTCCTCCAAGTCCCACTCTCCCATGGTTAACTCTTCTTGAAATAAATTTTCCACCCCAGCTCTATTCTCACCTTTCTTATTGTTGCTAACGTTGCAATTATTAACGATACTATTTATGTCATCAAAGTAACTATTGTTAGTATCTGTGTTGCATGTACTCTCCACTTTAAGGTTATGGTCAGAAAAAGTGCTAACACTCTCTAGAGGAGGAATATACATATCCCCTTCTGCCCCACTTCCAAATACTCCTCCTTTTTCCATATAAAAACCTTTGTTGTCAACTCCACTACTGTGTGAGAAGCATGGCCCAGTAGCGTTGAAGAATCCAGTACTAGCAGGAACTGGCATGTTTAGTCCATGCTCTAGCATGGGCAACCTGTCAATTATGGAATTGAGAACTGTGGCATGCATTGATGATGATGGAGATGATGAACTGAACATAGGCATAAAATCAGCATGATGATCTTGCGTACAAGTAGTAAACTTAGGCTCATATGAAGACTCGCTTGCGTTTGGTGAGGTTGTGGAAGACAAGTTCTTGAGTCTTTTCTTTATTGTTGAGTTCCAAAAGTTCTTAATTTCATTGTCTGTTCGCCCAGGTAAGCGCGCCGCTATTTGAGACCATCTTAAAAATGAAACACCATTGAATGTTTTTGTCAGCTTAGCACAGCAAAAATTAATCGAGTTTGGTGGGTGACTAATTAAATTAATTTTGTCAGTTAATATCATTGTCTGTCGATTCTGTGACAGAAAAATAATGCATGCTTTGCATGGAAGCGAATAAGGTTTTTTAAACAATTCAGATAATGGGTTGTCTTCAATTCGAAGTCCAAATACAGACGAATCACAATGCCTATATATGTTGTTTTCAGTTAGTCCTCTTGTCCTCTACAAGTAGCCGCCTAGACGTAATATAGTATATATAATATTTAATGCACGTTGTGCATGTATTTTTTAATTTTGAATTATGTGCCGTATCTTAGACTAGGAGAGCCAGATTTTGACATCCAAAGACTTGTAACAAAATCTTTTTCAAAATTTTGTCTGATTTTTGTAAATGCAAGGTATCTTAGAATAAGTACTTTGGTATATATATGCATATATATATATATATATATATATATATATATATATAATTACTTGAGCATAGTGTGTCTCTGAACTTTCTTGTACACTTCTAGATATAGGAAAATGATGGCACACATAGAAATTGAGACCTCTTGCAAATTATTCATACACTTTTCATTACCACACCCGTAACTAATATATAATATTGAATCCAATTTCATTCTTTGAAAACACACACACACATATATATATATATATAAGTTTTAAAAAAATATTAAAATCCAAGAGGAAAACTAAAGTTGGCCCACTTAAATTGTACAGGGAACAACATTATTCTTTTGAAATGGTATTAAATAAGATTCATTCATTTTTCTTTAATTTCAAACACAATTCATGCATCTAACACCCTTTCACTTTTTCAGATAAAGATGATGGATATACATGTTAGAAGGGGCTAGTGGATGTTAGAGATGTCCGGTACACTTATATGTGAATTAGAGATATAAGAGATACGGCACGCGCGCGCGCATACTTAGGTTTACAAATGAATAATACACACGTGCAAGGGGAAGAGTTCTTAAAGATCATATAGAATTAAGTTTAGAAAACATTATAGTATTCTGTCAATTAATTACCAGTACTCGGTATTGTTAATGATGCAAGGATCCAAATATGGTATAAAATAAAATGGATAAATTTGTGGGAGAGAACATGCAAATATATGTAGGTAGAAAAGATGGCTAGGTGTGGACCTGTTTCCAAGAAGGGAATGCAAATGGATGATGAGTTCCTCTTCTTGTGGTGAGAATGCACCTCGTTTAAGATCAGGCCTCAAGTAATTGATCCATCGAAGCCGACAACTTTTGCCACACCTTTGAAGGCCGGCATTTCTGGCCACATCGCTCCAACAACCTTGTCCACTGTTTAGCATGTAGTTCATGAGCTTGTCATCTTCTTCTGGTGACCACAACCCCTTTCTAAGCTTGTTATTGGAGTTGTTTTTTCCAGATGGCTCAGGCTTCCTCATTGTACAGTACAGCCTGATCCGGACCCGAGTATTACCCTGATGGCCAATTTCCTCTCCCAACTGGTCCGATGTAGATAAGAGAAGGATTTATAGTGAGAGAAAGATAACAAAGAAGCTTCATAGGGTGGGAATGATGATGATAATGATGGTGATGGTTGTGGGGTTTGCTTACAAAATAGGGAAGAGTGAGAGAGAGAGAGAGAGAGAGAGAGAGAGAATTGGTTGATGAGTCTAGTGGAAAACGGTTTGGAGAGGGACTCGAGGGATTGAGAAAGATAGGTGTCTTCTTGTCTTTGACTCCATGACACTTGTCTTTTTTATTTTCTATTTTTTTCTTCCCTCTCAAGCTAATCATATACGTGAATCATCAAAGGGTACACACGAATATATATATGTGAGGAAGCGTTAAATACGTTCTTAAGTGCAATTTTTTTATATATTCTTTATTATTAATTAAAACTATGTGAAAGAATAAATGAATTAAGAGCATAATTCATGTAATCTTTTTTATAATTTTTAATAAATAATTAGAAATGTTAAAAAATTATATTAAAAATAGATTATATATATATATATATATTGTAAACATATGAGCTTGTTTTATAACCAAGACAAGTTATTTGCTTCCACTTCACATAATCCCTTCCTCTCTACCCCCACACGTGTAGTTTAAGATATTGAACATATATATAAAAGATAATAAAGTTATGACGGCATATCCTGGTCAATAATTTATGTAGGTTACATTGCTGAGTACTTTTTGCACATAAGATCTACATGCTTAACCTTCATCACATAAAATGAAGTAAAACAGACTCAATAAATGTATGAACATATATTATATACGCCTCCTCTCATCATTCATGAAAAGTGACAAAAGAAGAGATTTGGAGGTTCCCCCCTCTCTCTATATAAACATATATAAATATAATATTCTTACAAAAGTTATTTATGGCAACATGTACAAAAGTATAAAACGATAAAATAGCTCATAATTTTTAATACATTTTTTTAATGAATAAAATAGATAATGATTTTTTATATCAATTTAAAAGCTTTTATAAGAATATCATATCTCAATAGATAATATTAGCACTTACATGTATTAATATATTCTGATTTAATTTTTAGAAGAGTATTTTAGTAACTTGTAACTTTAATTTGTTAAAACACTCAAATATATGTGTATGTACACCCCTCCCTCTGTGTGTGTGTGTGTGTATATACGCATTTCGTGCTACCATGATCATCAGCAGGTAGTGACAATGAGAGGGAATTTTTAGCGCAATCACTACCGTTTGATGTCTGATAGAAGTGACTTCGGTGTTATAAATTGACTAGGTTAAGCCAATTATGCGTTAATGAAGCTGTTACTTTCACGAACCAAATAGAAATAAAGATTCGTTAATTATGTATTATACGTTGTTTCTATCAATTTTATTTATTTACTCCTAGCTAGGGTACATGAAGGTCAGGTCCAAGGGTAGGGTACGTATATAACTACGTATTCTCGGATGGTGTGGTTTTGCAGAGGAATTAATGCTGACTTTCATAAATTGTAAACGAAAAGATCGAGTTTAGTAAATTGCGATTGAAGGAAGTGATTCACTTTAAGCCTTCTTTGATTTAGTCATGCATATTCTTTTCCACACAAAGGTGAATCATGCTAGAAAAAGAAGAAAGAAATGGTGCAACAGATAATTGACTTTTCGGACCATCTTTTTAAAGCAAGGACAATATATATATGGACAATTGCAGTTTCCTTATGTAATCAACCAACATTACAATCTCCAAAACAAGTTGAAATGAAGAGTCCCAACTTCAGTTTGTTTGAATTTGGAGGTTAACACATTCTGCTGACGTACTTATGATAATATCTTAGCGATGAGGGTTAAATTATTTTCCTTATTTCAAAACTATCCCTAGAGGACTTGTGGTAGTTAAAGTGGAGGATGTAGAGCCTAAACACTTCTCAAAAGCGCATTGGATTATTGGAGAAACCATAAAAGGACCCTCCATTTCTGCGTAACTGGTGTGCACTAAGTTAATTGGAATGTGTCAAAATAAAACATCCAAAATCTTTTTAATAAGGAATAAAGTAGAGACCCACTGTTTCCCAAGTAAAAAGGAGACTAGATTTGAATAAGGATAATGGGTGCACTTTCCATGGTTATTCTATAGATATTTATTATGATTTTTTTTCATTGTAACCAACACCTTATACATGTTCTACAAACTCAAAAGGTTAGAAGGATTGTCAAAAAGTTGCAATACACTACAAGAAAAAGTTAAAAGAAGCAATCAATTTAATAAATTGGCAAGGATCTCTTCAGAGGGACCAAGTGGGCATAAGGGGAGGGTGGATGATATATTCTTTCATAGAATCATGTGTTTAAGGAACTATGAAAGTGGCTGCAGATTTGTTTGGGTGTAAGAATTGTGGCAGGGGATATTTGCTTAGGTTAAGTTAGAAAAAAAAAATTAAAGGGAAGAAAAAAACACCACTTTGTCCACCTCAGAGTTCCAATTTATGTCGTTAACAACACATCATATTGCTTTGACTTCAAATAATATAATGATTAATCGCAATTACTGTATGCTCAAGAGAATATGTGTGTGGAAGGATTCGTGTCCACTACAAATCCTAAATCCTTCACACAAAATGACATAATAAGAATTGACCCATTTTTTAAGTTGCTTCGAAATGCATCCTTAATCAATAAAAATTAAAGGGTAGAAAGGTATTATGAAAGTAGAGAAAGAAACAAGCATAAACATGAGCATGGAATGTCTTAATCCGTGTTTGAATTAGCTTCCATATACGTACATCTATGGGATAACACTAGCTAGCTAGATAAAATTAGTCATAAAACTTCCAAACTCCTAAAGCTTCATCTTTTCTATGCTTTCTATGTACTGCATGTTCTCTTGCCAAAGTTTAGCCCTATTTAAGTTGATTACCTCAGACATAAGCAAGCATGACTTTAGTTAGATGAGAGGGGTCCTACCAACAACAACTTTCCATTAGAAACCTAGCAATAAATTAAGAAAGTGCAACCACCATAGTAACGGCCTAGCTATCTCCAAAGCCATTGGGCATATGATACGGGGAACGTTTTCTTAGTATACATGATTCTGATAAAACAGCTTGAAACACGACGTGGAAAAAGATTATGTGGTAGGTATGATTATGAATTATGAATGTGTATATATTTGAAAATCAGTATTTGTCTCAGATGCACTTCAACAGTGTAAAGCTCAACGACCTAGATACGCAATTATAAAGTAGTTGTATATATAAACTTTTTTTTCTTTTCAAGAATTTTACAATATATATTCTTTTTCGTACATTAAATCTTAGAGGAAGGGAACAATGAAATGTTCTAAGTTCTGTGCTTATAAAAATTAGTTATTAAAAAGCTTATATTTGCCTCATTTTAAAAAAAACAAGTTGGCATCAAATTAACGATTTATCACGTGAGAACTTATATGTAATTGATTGAAAATGTTTTATATATAGGATGACAACATATTGTCTCTTTCAGTTTTGAGATGTATTTCAAAGATGTGCGTTTATGTATACAAAATGAAGTTTAATTTTATGTGTAATGTTAGTATAAAAAAATTACACTATTAACTAATTAGAGCACGCTTAAATATAATTTTTAATTTAAATATCATAAAGTTTAATGATGTTTGGTAATATGTCAAATAAAAATTAGATGACAGTGTCAAAGTTTATTACACTGTCACTGTATTTTTATTTTATAAAGATGATTATGTATAATATTATATATAATAATAATTATCTAGTATTTAAATAATGAAAGCCATAATTAAATGATAGAATAGTTTTTTTAAAATTATGCAAGATAATTATTAGTTATAATATATATTTATTCCGTTTAATGATATTACCATTATGACTAATTTACGATTAAAAAAATATACAAAACATATTAAGTTACATTCTAAACCTGAATACATTATAAATAATAACTACGACAGTAATTAACAAATTTCTTGTATATACAGTACAAGTATTTTTTTAATTCATATACAAGTTATTAATAATTAAGCAAAAATTAAAGTAAATATTTTTTTCTTAAACTATAATAATCTTTTATCAAAGATAATCTTATTTAAGTCGAGTAAAATTATTATGAGTATAATTTTTTTAAGTATTTAATATAAATATATTTATTGAAATTTAAAATTATAGGTTAAGTTGAAACCATTTATATTAATTTAATATTTATTTTTACTATTAATAATTGATATTATATTATATTAAAAAGCCTAAAAAAGAGAATGAAAATTTTAAATTATAAAATCAAAATACATCATTTTTATTAATAGATATTTTATATTTCTTATGACATAAACTCTAACGCTAAGTTAATATCTAATTATAAGATATGAAACTTGAATCTCACTTTAACATTTTGTTAAAATAAGAGTAAAAAAAAGAAAAAAAATAATTGAGTAAAAAATAGAATAAAAATAAGATGTAAAAATATGTTATTTAGAGAAAAGTATAATTTTATTGAATTTTAATTATTTGAATAAGTAAAAAAATTTAAATATATAAATAACTTTTACACTGATAATAAAAAAGTTGAAACTTTGGTTATAATAACTTTTACGCATATACAATTGAAGAAGCGTATAATTGCATATCTTCGGTCCACAGCGTTGGTGAGGATTGTGTCAAACAAGGCCTCGTTTTGCATCAGCCTGTAAGGGTTTTAGGTTGAAGGAGGGAAGGCTTCGTGAGTTGCAATCCCCAAGAGCCCAATCTGGCCCAATTCAATCTCATCCAATGATATGATTAATTACAAAATTAACATGAATTAAACATATTTTCATTTTTTTGGATAACAATTTTTTTATTATTGAATATGAAAATTAGGATATGATTTAATGCAAAAAAAACCCCCTTCTTATAAAATTACTATATGAAACAAACCAATATCATAAAATAAACAAAAAAAGAAAAATATATAATATATTAAATTATATTTTATTAAAAATGTATAATTGTAAGAAAAAATAATGTACATAAGATAAAATTGTGTTTATAATAAAAAATAATTTATCCACAGATGGATCAAGATTATTTATGGCATAATATTTTTAAAAACCATTATTAAAAAATTCAAATAATCTTTACTTATATTGTTGACAAATGTTTATTAAGAAATTTTTGTTTTATAAATAGGTTCATAAGTCAAGTAAATGAACATATATTTTTTTAGTACAAATATTTCTAATATTTAAAACAAAAATGACAGTATTTAAAATTTAAGTAATTAATACGTTTAATGAGTGTGCATTTAATATAATTTAACTTATGTGTCAAATACATGAGATAACAAACTATATATTAAACTAATTTAATTTTATCCATATCCATATATTAAAACTTTTTATTATTAAATAATGAAATTAAAAATTACATGACAAAAGCCTAAATTTTGCCTAACAAAAATGTTAGCTAATCTTTTAGTTTAACTGCACTTTAACCCTCTCATTTGGATATATATATAATTTTGGTTTTCAACATATTTTTCCAAACTGATTAAGCTTCTCAAATTTTCAAATTGTACAAATTTATTCCTTTGTCATTTTTCTTCAACTAAAAGCCTCAAAGTTGTTCTGTTCAAAATATTGGGGAGTTTTTCATAGAATAAGAATATAAATTAATTTTAAAATTTTAAAAATTTAATATTTTATAATATGTAAAATTAGAATTAAAAAATAAAGTTTTATTTTATTTTATATTAATTTTAGTAGAAGAAATTTTAATTTGTACAAAAATTGATTAAAAAAAGTGAAATTTAGAAGTAAAACCTAGCTGCAACTAAACAATTATTTATATACAATTTAAATCAGGAAGTAGTCGTAGATACAGTATATTGTATAAAATGATTATCCAAAAAAGAAAATGTTGAGCAGAAAGAAAGGTAGGAACTAAGAAATAATGTTGGTGGTTTAACTGTAAATGGATTAGATGAGATGAGAAATGAAATTTGGAAATGATGTTGAGGGTGGCCGTGCGATGGAATTGGAGGCCAATGGCTTCTTCTCTGCCTCTAACTCGCTTCACATACAAACACTTCCACACCCTCAACCCTACCCCTCCATTACCCTCCTTCAACGTTTCTTCTTCTTCTGCTCCTCTTACGCACACCTCACCTCCTCTCTCCACCGACTTGGACCCCTACCTCCGCTGTTGCCTGCCGCACAAGTCATCACTCCGAGTTGCCGTTCTCGTTAGCGGCGGTGTCGATAGCAGCGTCGCTCTCCGCCTACTCCACGCCGCCGGCCATTCCTGCACCGCGTTCTACCTCAAGATATGGTTCCAAGTATGCCTTCTTTCTTTGCATCTCAAAATTAGGTTATTCGTATGGTAGCTGTTTCTTTTTCGCGCGTGATTTTCTGTAGGAAGACTTCGAGAACTTTTGGTCGGAATGCCCGTGGGAAGAGGATTTGAAGCACGCCAAAGCTGTTTGTAATCAGGTCACTTTCTTATCAATATCCTTATTGTAGATGATCTTGACCACCAATGTAATTGAAAACGGTGTTTCTATTTGCAGGTTGAAGTGCCATTAGAAGTTGTTCATTTGACCGATGAATACTGGAACAATGTGGTATGCATGGTTATTCACTTTTCCTCTATACTCGACTAATTGCATTTCCTGTTATTTAAGTACCTGGTTGTGTAATCAGATTTTAAAGTTATTTAATGTATTCCAAATTGAAATAGTTGAGGTTTCTGATTTCTCCTATTTTTGACTTGCTCATCTCCATATCAGGTTTCTTACATCATTGAAGAGTATCGTTGTGGCCGAACTCCTAACCCTGATGTTCTTTGCAATACAAGAATAAAGTTTGGTATGAGTCTGTCATCCTGTTACATGCAATGAATTCAGTCTAACCAGTTTGTGATTTGTTTTCTTTCTTTCTATTTCGTTAATGATTTCTTTTTCATTAGGTGCATTCTTGGATGCAATCAGTAGTATGAGTTTTGACTATGTTGCCTCTGGGCATTATGCGAATGTTATCCACCCATGTGCTGATCAGATGGATGAGCCTTCAGTATTGGAACTATCACAAGACATGGTACCAATATTGGATATACTTTTATGATTAAAAGACCTTGTTTGTCTTTGTGATTTATATATAGGTGATATATCTGTACTGTCAGCTCTGTCTGAAGGATCTTTGCTGATTAACTAATAACTTGTATAAATTGTTTATGGTGGTTTTAAGTTTTAATTATTTCTTTGACGAATGGTAATTTAAATTGTCTATGTTAATTTCTAATGTGGTTTTGAAATTTTAGGTAAAGGATCAAACATACTTCCTTTCCCACCTCTCACAATCCCAGCTGAAGCGACTTCTTTTTCCACTTGGTTGTATTCCCAAGGTTTGTTGTGACTAGCACCATTTTCAATACTGAAGTTGTGTTTAGTTTGTCTAAGGTTCAATAATTTTATGGCATCTAACATTACTCAGCAGTATGCATTCTGAATATATTTGTTAAAATTTTGACTGCCTTTAGTCGTTGTTTGGGTTAAAAATTGGATGCTTCACTGCAGTAATAATTTGTACAGGCCAACAAAATATCTTGCTGTGACTGAAGATATTTTTGTTGGTTTCATCTTGTGCCCGGCATTCTTTTCTTCCTTTAAAACATCACTTACTATCCATTTTTTATATGAGATCTGACACAAGAATTCAGGTTGGATGTTTTCAGAATATATTTGTTAAATAATTTTATAAGTGCCCTTAATTGTGGTTGAGGTTGCTACTTGGACGCTGTTTTGCAGTAAACCATTTATAAAGGCCATAGAATTATCTTTTTTCTTTATGAAGACCTTTTTTTTTTCAGAAGACTGAATGATGTCTTGAAGATATTTTTAATCTAATTTTTATCTCCTGCCACTTCATCTACAGGATGAAGTCCGCAAGCTTGCCACAAGATTTGATCTACCTAATAAGGATAGAAAGGATTCCCAGGGAATATGCTTTCTGGGCAAGGTATGCATAATGAACAGTTCTTTTAATTCATATCGGTTTCAATGTGTTGAGAAATATGTGGTTCATGACAAATCACTCTTGATCTTTCAGACTGTTCTAAAAGTGAATGATTAAATGAAAATGACACTTATTGCAATGTCCATTATGAATTATTATAACCATTGTTTAATTTTCTATTTTAAACTTTTGTCATTCTTGTTTTGAAGCAAGTCTTGAAGATAGATTTCTTTTATTTCTCTCTCTAACTTTGTTCACTTTTTGAGTTACAGATAAGATTCAGTGAATTTGTTGCAAGACATATTGGGGAGAGAGAAGGTATCATACTGGAAGCTGAAACAGGAGATTTCCTTGGCAAACATCGAGGGTTCTGGTTTTATACTATTGGTCAGCGCCAGGGTTTACGACTACCTGGAGGTCCATGGTTTGTTGCCTCTCTATTGCTTTCTAACATTAATGTATTTATCTGATAAATTTCCAATCATGTCGTTATATACTCCATTTTTGTATTGAAGATAGATCCACAATGTAGGTGCAGAAATATGAAATTATGAATGTGTTAGCTTGCTGTAGTTCACAACTTTTGATCATTCACTTAGAAGGGTGCAATTGTTTTCCTTAATTTTTTTCTCCACCTTGAGTCACTTGAAACTTTTCTTTCAATGCATTCTTACCCAGATGTCAACTTTGGCCTTGTTAAAAAAAGAGAGACATTAATCCCATTTGTTATCTTACGCAGGTATGTTGTTGAGAAGGATGTCAAAAACAATGTAGTTTTTGTGTCAAGAAATTACTTTTCCTTTGACAAAAGAAGGCGCATATTCCGTGTTGGCTCTGTAAAATGGCTTGGTGGGTTGCTCCCAAGCCAGACAAGTCAGCTCCAATGCAAGGTGAGACATCAGTTTTCCTGCCCTGTTATTAGAAATATTTTCCATTTAATAGTAAATAAACTTCTGGTATCATAACCTTTTCAGGTGAGACATGGTCCTGGATTCTATGATTGTAGCTTAGAAATGGAAATGGAAGAAGATGGCCAAGATCACTCTGTTGTTGTCCGCATATCTGAAGATGATCAAGGCCTAGCAGCTGGCCAGTTTGCGGCCTTCTATGAGGGAAGAGCATGCATAGGTTCGGGTGTGATTTTAGAGTCCTGGGATGATCAGAGTTTTCCAGTATGTACAAAAGCTTTAGAAATTGCGAGAATTGAAGATAAATCAAAGATTGGGAATCCGGTAAAGATAAAGGTTAAACCAGATAATCCGCAAGAAGTGTGTGATTCTTCAGAGTTAGCAAGTAAGGCATCATAAGGAAATAAGAAATTCCCTTCCGTATTCCCTTCCAATTGGCTACAAAAAAACATGGGCAAGCGTGATCAATACATGTAGATTTTCTGATCTTTGGTTCGGGAACGTTTTTTATATACATGTTCTGGGAAATCATAAGTACTTTTTGTAGATGGCTGTAGGAAATTAGTAGCTTCCATTCTTCGGTGTTTTGAATTAAATGTGTATTGACAATATACCTTAAGACGTAATACATTTCTAACCATAATAATTATTAAATGAAGAATTTCTTAATTTGGAATTAATCAATAAAAAAAGAACCAGTGTTGTGATATGGATAATTTGTAGTTTTCACCGATTGAATTGCTCCCAGATTTTGCCAGTTGCCTGAGTATTGTGAGCAAAGGTTGATAATTTGTCATGGATTAGCCTTTCCCTGGTTGTTGTGAAAATGAGAGGGACAATTGGAGAAATATAAATACAAATAGACATGAAAACTGCATTATGTTAGGATAAAACGAGAATTTTCGCTCACATTCCATCATTTGTTATCTGTACAACAAGGACATCATACGAAAATAATTTTATCTTGTATTTTTGTCTGACGAAAACACTCTTAATGATGTTTTGTATAAGCACTTCTATAGTCTTATTTTTCAATAATAACAAACCTTTGTCAGTTTATAAATAAATGCTAATATGTGTGATAAATATTATTATTACTTACACGCTTTTGTGATCATATTCGATCCGTATTGGGATCGTTTCCTTCTAAGCTGACATGTTTTTGAAATTTGAATTCTCCTGTTAGGCTTACATATTTTTGAAATCTGAACCATACATTCTCGTTAAAACCTTATCAAAGGTAAGAAAAGGATACATGAAATGCATTATGTTGCCTCAACAAGATTTTTCCCCGATATTTGTTAGAAACGTACCGAATAAAAACTGTTATGCATGCGGCGAGGAAAAGGCAAATTGGTGAGAGAACGAGAATACAGATAAAACCCGCCAAATCTTTGAGAATTGAGATATAGTAAGTTCACACATGGCACGCGCTCTAACCCCTATCTCTTACACTCTCACTAAAACCCTAAACCCCATTTTTCCATTTCACCACACCCTTCCCGTCTCCCATTCAATCCTTTGTTCGGTTTCTCACCCGAAGCTCACCTCATTCCCTTACCGGAGCCTGTCACGCTCCGTCATCCGGTTTAGCGCCGGCGAATTCTCTGGCAGTGTCGACGATGAAGAAGGATCGGAGGAATTGGAGGACCTTGATGTCATCGCGCTCGAGCAAGAAGCAAAGGACACAGTCCTAGCCTATGCAAGCTCTCTGTCTCAAATTCTGAGTCTTGGTGAGTCTTCCTTCATTCAAGGCTCGCAGTTGTTGAGTTTTTGCTTATCTTGATTCTTTGAAGCTGGTCTTAAATTCTATATTTGACAATTTTCAGAAGATGGGGAGAAAAATGGTCGCAAGGAAACAGCTCAAACCCGCAGGAGGAGTGCGCGTAGAACAAAAAATGTTAGTATAACATTCAGTTTTGTAAAATATGTATTACGTTGACCAACTTGGCAAATTCTACAATTCTATGCAACCTGAAAGAATTCAGGACGTTGATAAGTTGCATGTATGAGGCCAAGCGACAAATGACAATAGTGTGTATAAATTATGATACCAATTCTTCCCATGAATTTATCAGGCGTCAAATCACAATAGAAGTCTTGAAGCCATGGGTTCCCTTCAGTTATAGGATTCTTAAGTAACTCGTTTCTAATCAATGTGGGACTTTATCACCCACACTTGAATTAACTACTTTCTCCTGCTCAAGTGCACGTCTCAACAACATGGAACACTTATTTTAGACAGATAATTTTTCTTTATTGTTTGATACTAGTTAGGGGAACTTCAATCATTTCTTTGGAAGAAATTGAAGTAAATAGGGTCACATGCTGAACCTTTCTCATTTGAATGACAGATTCCTGACAATCTTCTCCCGAGGGTTGCAATTGTTGGAAGGCCAAATGTTGGCAAATCAGCGCTATTTAATCGTCTTGTTGGGGTATTGAATATTTCTTCCAACTTTAATTTCTTATTTTATGTTTTCATGTTTTTGGGAAATTAGTTGGAAATTTCAACGTGTCTGAAATCTGAATGTTGAAATTGATTCAGCATGATAGTCGTCTCCTTGCTGCTTAAATTGTAGGGAAACCGGGCAATTGTGGTGGATGAACCTGGGGTTACCAGGGATCGTTTATATGGTCGATCATATTGGGGAGAGAGTGAATTCATGGTAGTGGACACAGGGGGGGTTCTCACTGTTTCAAAATCACAAGATAATGTTATGGAAGAGCTAGCTATTACTACTACCGTTGGTATGGATGGTATTCCACTTGCCGCTAGAGAGGCAGCTGTTGCCAGGATGCCCTCAATGATTGAGAGACAAGCAACTGCAGCTATGGAAGAATCATCTGTTATTATTTTCCTGGTTGATGGTCAGGTACTGTGTATGTTAGCATATAATATCTTGTAATTTCCCTTCTCCAGGATTTTTTTTTCTTAATTTTTATTATAATATAATAAATATGTAGAAAAGGATAACAAGCTATGTAAAAAAGTGGTATTTTCATGTATTGAGTATTGGCTGGGTTTTCCTTTCCTCTCAGGCCCCTGGCATTATTAGACAGTTTTAGTAATTCTGGAATCTAGTCAAATCTTGGAAGCTTTTAACTGTATTTTACTTACTGCATTGAGTATCAGCCGGCTACATTTATTTAACATAGTTATACACCATTAAAAAGGGATATCAAATTTTTTTGTTTCTAGACTTATTTTAAAAGCATGATATTATCAACTATTTCATGAAGCTACTCCAAATCATGACCCAAAGACAGTAAAGATGATTATGCTGAACAGGCAGGTCTAACAGCAGCTGATGTGGAGATTGCTGACTGGCTACGTAAAAACTACTCAGATAAATGTGTCCTTCTTGCAGTTAACAAGTGTGAATCTCCACGAAAAAGAATTATGCAGGTGTCTGAATTTTGGTCCCTTGGGTAAGCTATTTCTGTGACAATGCACTCCCCTGAATGGGTAGGTAGCTTACATGCCTAAGGAGTGGCAAAACACAGTGGAAAATGGTCATGATAATTAACTGGTTTAGTAAATAATGTTCTTAATCTGATGTTTTCTTGACATGAATATCTAGGACTAGAACTTGATGTTATGTTTGGTTTTGGTGTCAAATTTGTAGGTATGAATTTGAATGTGTCTCAGCAAGCATTAATAGTTTGTGTACTGCTTCTAAGTTACAATTGAGGTCAAAGGTGGGATTGATACTTAATTTGACTTTATCAACATTTAATCTTATTTGACATTGAAGGGAATCAGGTTAAAATTTGTGGTTAACATGAGTACAAGTGGTTAATTTATCAATAAATAGCTAGTTCCAGTGGTAAGCAATTATTTTAATTATGATGTGATGTTGTTAGTTGTTAAACCAAGTTTGGTCATTTCTACTTAAATGTGTAAATTCAAAACAGATATGACAGAATCTCCTTGTTTGTTGCAATTTACTTTGTTTTTGACGTGTAACTTCATGTTCCCTCTTATTAGTTCGCACGTGTAATTATAAGGAGGGAAATGACTATGGCCAGGCATAAGATATAGATCATAATGCAGTTCTATATATTTGTGTGATTAAGAGACATCAAAGCAATTGCATATTAATAAAGAAACTGCATTTCTCTTGATTTGAACATTTTTGAAGTCATGAAATTGTTCAGGATTAGCATCATGATACATCTTGACTATATTAAAATTTAAAGCATATGAGATTGACAAAATTTTGTCTGTGACAATTAAAATTATAAACCACTCCTCTCCCACACACCAGGAAATAGAATCTTTTAAGTGGCTAAGCATGTAGAGTGGAGTTCTTGCATCATGTTGTTTATTGATGTTAGTGTCATATGTGGTAATCAGCAAATTGGTTGCTGTGATAATATATCAGATTTGAACCACTTCCAATATCAGCTATCTCAGGGACTGGAACTGGAGAGCTTCTTGACCTTGTTTGTTCAGGGCTACAGAAAATTGAGGTTTGTTTTCTGTAAAGGTTGCATTATCTTCCTGTATATATCATTTACAATGGGTAACTTTAGGTGCTATTTTCTACTATATACCCCAAGCAATTTTGTTTGACTATATTCTGCATTCACCAACCGATAATAAATCATTGGATTTAGTTGGAAGTATTCTTTATCACTATCCAATTCGGTATCAACCTGTTTTTATTATTATTTTGAGCCCCTTATTTTTCAGTTTAGAATTTGTTTTATGCTTAAAAAATAGGAACCGAATGATCTTGATGAAGAAGAAGATTATGTTCCTGCAATTTCAATTGTTGGTAGACCAAATGTTGGCAAAAGTAGCATTTTGAATGCACTGGTTGGTGAGGACAGAACAATAGTCAGCCCCATCAGTGGCACTACTCGTGATGCTATTGATACTGAATTTACTGGACCAGATGGCCAGGTTTGATTCTTTGGTGACTAACTAGTAATTACTAGGTGTGTAGCTTCACAGAGAAAGAAATTAAAATGTTTTATTATTTGCTGTGAGAATGAAAATTTAAAAAAGGATTAGTTGGTTATAAGGTTTTCCCCACCCTAACTTTGTTGGTTTAAAGGCTGTATGTTTTTTGGACCATACCAGATTGTAATAGTGATTTGGTAATTGTTTAGAATTTTGATTCAGCACAGTAATTATTTTCTTATTTTCTTTCTCCAGAAGTTCCACCTTATTGATACTGCCGGAATCAGGAAAAGAGCAGCCATAGCTTCAGCTGGGAGTACAACAGAGGCTTTGTCAGTGAATCGAGCATTTCGTGCTATTCGCTGTTCTGATGTTGTAGCTCTTGTCATTGAGGCCATGGCCTGTATCACAGAACAGGTTCCTGATTAATGCTTTTATTTGTTACATGAAAACAGATTGGTTTTGTATTACTCACCAGCCCTAGATGCACATGGGATACCTGTTGTTTAATATATAGCCATAATTGTTTTGTTTTTTTCTCTTAAACTATTTCAAATGTTTGTTGAAGGACTACAAGATAGCTGAAAGGATTGAAAAAGAAGGGAAAGGTTGTGTGATAGTTGTAAACAAGTGGGATACAATACCAAATAAAAACCAGCAGACTGCATCATACTATGAGCAAGATGTCAGGGAGAAGCTTCGTGCTCTTGACTGGGCTCCAATTGTTTATTCTACTGCTATAGCTGGTCATAGTGTTGACAAGTATGTTTTATCTGGCAAGTTATTGATGCATTTATGCAACATAGTTTGTTTATAACACGCTTTTTTTGAATTCTTTCAACTTTGCCTTCAAAATAAGTTCTCTGTTACTTATGCATTCATATTTATAAACAAATATCAACAGATTCTTCCATGATGAATGAGGTCAAGCTTTATATATTTTGTTGAAATTACTAGTTGCAATGTAGGGGACTAGGGGTCATGGTAGACTTCATGTAGTAGTCATATTGTTGACTGTGCACAATTTTGTTTACACTGGTATTTCTTGATGTTTAGTAAAAAATTCACTTGGTTATTTCTGGAGCTTGAGTGCTTCACATAGGAATGGACTTCAGAACTTGGCTCTTTTTAGAATCTTTTTTATTTGGATATGGTATTATGGGCTAATTTCGGTTTTCTGGATGTAGCATGGGATTGGTGTTGTAGATAAAGTGGTGCATAAGTTTTCTTGGATGTAGATACATGGTATCATAGTTGTCGTTAGAATTATGACTTATTCAGGTTTGATATTTTTCACTAGAGTTGATCTCCCGAGTGGATAGCTGATTGCTTTTTGTTGTTTTATACAAAAGGATTATTGTGGCTGCTAGTGAAGTTGAAAAGGAGAGATCAAGAAGACTCGGCACTTCTATATTGAATCAAGTAGTGCAGGAAGCAGTAGCTTTCAAGCCTCCTCCCAGGACGCGTGGTCGAAAAAGAGGGCGTGTTTACTATTGCACTCAGGTGTATATATCATACAACAATGGCAGTTAATAGTTGTTATTGTATGCCTTTTAGCTTACTGTGAGTGTTTGAATGCATTATTGTTATGTCATTTTATTTCATGCTAGAAATGTTCCCATTGCATTTGTTATGATGTAAGAAAATGAATGAAATGATTAATGTTGCAGGCTTTCTCATGAACTCCTTTGGTTATGCTTTATGTACTCAAATAAAAAATATTTAGTTACTTTATATTCTAACTGGATCTCCTCTTGCAGGCTGCTATAAGGCCACCTACATTTGTGTTCTTTGTCAATGATGCAAAACTTTTTCCTGAGACTTACCGGCGCTATATGGAGAAGCAACTGCGTTCAGATGCAGGTTTTTCTGGTACCCCCATTCGGCTTCTATGGCGCAGCAGAAGGAAAATAGGAAAAGATGAAGGTCAGTATTTGTTTGAGGTGCCAGTGGTATTTATTATATTTTTATTATGGCCAACTCTTTGATTTTGTTATTTTTATTTTGCTGCTCCCATCCCCGAAAAATGGTAAATGATGCTGTAGACATGTATGTATGATTTGCTCGCAGGCAAAGCTGTATCAAGGACCCAAGATAATCATACGTCAAATGATCGAAAATTGGTATCAACCACACCATAGGATAATATATTTAATTACGGAAAACTAGCTGTTATTCTGTGTGTTGGAAAAATGAAGGGGATTGTTGTCTAGGATTACTTAATTACTCAAATGTTTGTGCTTCCTGAAATCTATGAAGCTTAGTAAAAGCCCCACAAGGACCAGATGGGTGCCTGAAGTTAGGATGAGAATCTGTCATTTACGGCGATCGTCGATCACTCTGCGATTCTTACTAATCAATTTGTATTTATAGGGTTCTAGCACATTCCAGTCAACAACTGCGTTGTACATTTATCTATAGAAGTAGTTAGAGGAAATGTAAGCTGTTGGATTGCTAATTCCGTGACTCTATTCAAATATTTAATTAGGATGTTTTCCAGTGATCATATCTGCTATAGAAAGCTAGCTACCAACAACAGTATTTTCTGATTTTTTAAATATTTTTCAAATTATGAAAAAAATACCTTTTTTCTATTTTTAAATATTTATATGGAAATAATTTAAACAGGAAAATATTTTTTTTACTATTCTCTGTAGAAAATTTTGGAAATAAAAAAAATAATAAAACTAAAATAATATTTTTATAATTAAAAATAAATTATAAAAAATATTTTCTAAAACAGAACACCTCTTAAAGGTTTTGTTTGTTTTGATATTTAGAAGATTCGTGACTCCAATCTCCTAAATAAAAAATAAATGACATTTTTGTAAAACTCAAGTTTGAACGATATAGGAGTTTTTGTAACCACATTTGTATTTATAACCAAGCAGACTGAAAAAATATATATTTAACTCGTTCTTAAAGTTAGTTTAAGAGAAAAGGAATTGTTTAAATTTTAGAGTATACTATTGTATGTTCATTCATGGCTGTGTGGATTGATAGAAAATATGTATGGAGAGGAAAACAAAATGAAATTGATAAATGTAAAAAACAGTATTTGTTACTTTTATTTTAATTAAGACTTAAACAACATTTTAATCTCTAGATAAATTTTACATCTTTTTAGTTTTACTTCCTATAAAAATTTAACTTGATTAAATTTTCTAGAAATATAAAAATATTATTTTAATCAAAGGAACAAAAATCTTGTGCTTTTTGTTATAAGTACTAAAGATAAATGAAATTTTGGCAGAGACTAAAATAATAATAAAAATGATATTTTTAAGGACTAGAATGGTATTTAAGACTTTAATTTATAATTTATTTATAGGATTTAACAAGTATTTTCATTTTCTTAAATGGTTCAATATTATTAATTTTATTTTTCCAAATTAATATTATTTTCTACCATTTTCAATTTTGAATTATTATTATTTTTAATCGTTTTAATAATATTTTGTTAGCACTATAAGACAATGTCATTACGACACCATATCTAAAAGTGATATAAGTTTGCTATTAAAATTCGAATCATAAACTAAAATAGATGCATTAACACTCAGTATTACCTCAAAATATTATCATTTATCTAATTTAACATGCTATTCCACACTCGTTGAAATAAAAAATAAAATAAAATTGTAAGATGCAGGTTAGGACTACTTGAACTGATACAGATCTATGGTAAGAACAATATTTTGAAGTGCTCATTCGAAAAATTGATCAGGTATTATAGATAGATCCTAAGCTTGCTGTAATGACGCCGAGGTCTTCTGCCAAAGGGACCGCCCTAAAATGGCACTTCCATGTATTGAAAGATATGCAGCATTTAACCTGGCAAAGCAACAGAGATCCGTCATAACTACACATCAAACAAATATATACACTTTTTCTTTTCCTCTGTTTATGACCAAAGCCAATCTACCCATATTCGTTAAGGTGTCTATAACCATCTTTTAAATTGGAAAATGTGTGAAGCAGGGGTGAGAATCTTACTTATCGACGTCAGGCATTGCTAGGGGATCATATGATTCCTCCATAGGCATAGACACTGCTGACATGTCTTGAGCACCTTCAACCTGAAAAATGAACCAAGATGCATGAATGTCAAAAAAAATCTACTATCTGCCATAGGAAGTGTATGTAAACTAAATTTAAGATATTACCTGTTGAGGGTATTGTGCATAACCAGCATACGCACCATAAGCATACAAGGAAGGATCGTGAGTAGCACCATAGGCATATGCTTCATAACCTTGTCCATATCCGTAGTAGGCACTCCATTGATTTGGATCCATCTGTTGCCCCCAGCCCCCAGCTAAGTCCTAAATTGTTTCATTCAAATGTTGTTAGTGCTAATATAATTACACTTCCAACAACCATGAAAAGGTGAACTCCACATACCAGCTACTTGTTGAGCAGATCAAAGATATAATACTCATTCAAATATGTCAATCTAGACTCTTAAGTACTAATAACATTTAGATTAAAACAACATATTCCATTTAGAGTACTAAGTTCCTTATCACATTCTCTAATCCTACCAGTAGATCATCAAGTAGAGTCTAGACTCATCCTCCAAACATGTCCCTCTATGGCCAAACCACTAAAATGGCAAACATTATAAAAGCCATAAAAAATCTATGCTAGAACTGTACACGGATGTATATTACCGATCTAGAGATTTTGAAAGACTTAATATAGCTTAATCTAATGCAGTTAGTCATTCTTGAAATTAAAAAACCATTTCCAAAGGCAAAATCACCTGTCTAGCTACTAAGTTACTACCCCAAGAGATCTGGACCACTTGTTGACCTATCATCTTCCCCTGCATCCTCTGAATGGCATCATCAGCAGATGCTCTACAGACATAAGCCATAGGAGAGGTCAAAAAACCAATTCATAATACGATAAAGAAAAAGAAGAAGAAAATAAGATTGATGGAAGACCTCATAAGATGCAGAGTAACATCAGGCCACATGTAACTTATTGCCTTGGAAATGGGGTAGCATTAGTCAAAACTCATGTCATTTATTTCAAAATATTAAAGTAACCACGTAAAGATTCACATGCTAAAGATTAAGGGGTTAAAAAAGAAAACCTAGTCCCAAATTGAACAAAACCATATCCTTTGCCAGCATAAACTTTGACAGACACAATATCTCCACATTGCAGAAAGCTTTGCTTAAGCTCCTCCTCAGTCACATTAAGATCCAAGTTACCAACAAAAATCTGCAATGCCGTCGTTCTCCAATTAAAATAAAAATTTAATTTTAATTGAAAATGGTTACTGAGATGTGAAATGACGAATTTGAGTAGATAACTTAGGTTAAAATCACATAAATTATAATTTGACTCACAGTGGTATTATTCATATCATTTTCTGGTGGAACAGTATTGACCGGTGCAGTGTATGCCGGAAACGGATATGTTGCTGCAAAATGAAAAAAAAATAAATTAATGATTAAGTGTCTAATCTAAGTTGTAAAAACAGAATAATGAACAGAAGGAAGAGTGTGTTGTACCTTTAGGAGGAGCATATTGATGTTGAAACGAAGTGTTCTTCTTAGGGGTAGCGGCACTGATACGCATTGGGCGAGTGGAGCAATAAACACCGTTCATTTCGGTCATGGCACGGTTCCTTTGGGTCTCATCAGAGAACTTAACAAATCCATATCCCTTGGAGCGGCCCGTAACGGGGTCTGTGACTACTTTAGCGCCTTTAACGGAAGGGTAATGGGCCCGGAAAGTCTCTTGGAGAAGGAAATCGGTGACATCAGGAGCGAGATCGCCGACGAAGATGGAGTGGTCGGGCCCAGAATCGCCGAAAGAGGCCCAATTGAGTCTGAAGGTTAGTTCAGTGCCGGGCATTTGAGTGCCGTTGTAAGTGAGAAGAAAGGCTTCGGCTGCGGCGTGGGAGACGAACTCGACGAAGCCGTAGCCCTCGGGCTGGCCCGTCATCTTGTTGCGTATGATTTTGATGGAAACGACGTCGCCGCTGTGAGCGAAGCACTGAGAAAGATAAGACTCATCAACCCAATACTGTAAATCCCCAATCCATAAAGTTCGCACTTCTTCGATCGCCGTTGTTCCCATTCTCTCTCTCTCCTCAACCGCTCCACGCACCACCGATTATGTCTTTTTAAGTTTAAACCCTTCTATGGGCCTGGGCCTGGGCCTGAGGTACGACGTGGCCCCATCGACACCTGGGCTGTACTAGCGCAGGATATTCAGGTGGAGTGGAATGGCATGTATTTCTTGATAAAAAAAAAAAAGAGAGAGCGAGAGAAAGAAGGAATGATCTGTATTCATTTATCTAAAATATTAAATTAATAATAATGTCCTTTAATTTTAATAAAAGTTTTAATAAAATTATTACCATTTAATATTTCTGATTCTCAATTCTTTTGTTATGGGCTAATTTTTTTTAATGATATTGTGTTTATTGTTGATTAAGTTAAATGTATTCATCGTTGGATAAAACTTTTCATTCGGTTCGTAAAGTCAGATTATATAGATTTTTTTTAAATTAGTTATTTTATGTTATTTTCTTTACACAATTTTTATGCAATCAAGTTATCTCTCTCTCTTTTTTTAATTGATCAAAAAGCTTTGTATGAACACAAATATTTTACAATTAAGAAGGACAATGTTGTCTTAAAGAAGACAACTTTTCTAATTATATGTCATTCTCTCTTTGCATCGCTATATCCTGCAAAATAAGCTAAGTTGACTCAAAATGTTGAGTTTTGGCCATTAAATTAAGGTTCAATTAGTTTTTTTTTATTTCAGTTTAAATAAGTTTGCGTAAATAATGAATTTGATGTGAATCGGTATATATAAGTTCCTTATTTGCTAATAAAAATAACAACAACAACAATAATAATAATAATAATAATGATAATAATATTTCTTAGAATTTAGCCTAATGTAATATTCTTTTTAATTATTTAAGTTATTCGTTATTTGATTAATTGTTATTACTGTTAATGCATTTTTATTATAAAATTATAACTATACAAGTCAACTTCTACAAGGTTAGATTTGAACCTCCATTTTAGAAACCTAAATAACTTTAAATTTTTATAGCTCAACTCACATAAGCTTATTGCATGAGATTAAATCGAATTGGGTTAGATAACTCAAATATATTTGATAGTTCTAACAGTAGATATAAAATAAAAGAATAAATAATTAATAAATATGAAGGTGAATATATAAATAAATAGAATAGTTTTTATTTATTTATTTATGCATATCTTACGATGAATAGAGAATATTTGACTTAAAATCCTACATGCTTTTTAAAAAAATGTTGCTATCAATATTTAAACTCGCAAACCCGGAAGTCAAAAGATTCTTTTGTTAATTAGACGTGAGTATACACACACGTACACGAGGGAGTGAGTGAGCAAAGCTCATTTTATCCATTCTTAGTTACGTTGGAGTACTGTTAAATCAAATTTTATCTCAAAAATTGATGATTGGTCAATTTCATTAGGATCATTAATTCACAATGCAAAGAAGGAAATGGTAACCAACAAGAAGGAAGAACAAAATATAATATTGAATGTAACTTTGAAGATTGATACACACATTTGAATTAATCAAAACCAATACACACACGAGCTACACTAGAACCAAAATAAGGCTCATACTTTAGTGTAGACCCTCTTATTAGTGAAGGTTTACTTACAAATTAACCGCAACAATGTTGAATATAATTTATTGAAAAGAATTCAAATTTCTTTAGCTGCCACCTTAATACACTGGAGGTGGGGGTGAGTTATAGGCGTAGGGGTGGTATGGCGGAGGAGGTGATGGTGACGGTGGAGGTGGAGACTTGTAGTAATATGGAGGAGGTGGCGAAGGTGATGGAGGTGGTGGTGACTTATAGACATATGGTGGAGGAGGCGATGGAGAAGGAGGAGGCGGGGACTTATAAATGTAAGGAGGAGGTGGTGAAGGTGATGGAGGTGGTGGAGACTTATAGACATATGGTGGAGGAGGAGATGGAGAAGGTGGAGGAGGAGACTTATAAATGTAAGGAGGAGGCGGTGAAGGTGAAGGAGGTGGTGGTGACTTATAGACATAAGGTGGAGGAGGTGAGGGAGATGGTGGGGGAGGAGACTTGTAAACATATGGAGGTGGTGGTGATGGGGAAGGTGGTGGTGGAGACTTGTAAACATATGGTGGAGGTGGAGAAGGAGACGGTGGAGGTGGTGACTTATAAACATATGGAGGGGGTGGAGAGGGAGATGGGGGTGGCGGAGACTTGTAGACATATGGTGGAGGTGGTGAAGGAGATGGGGGTGGTGGTGACTTGTAAACATATGGTGGTGGAGGAGATGGTGATGGTGGGGGTGGTGACTTGTATACGTATGGAGGAGGGGGTGATGGTGAGGGAGGTGGTGGTGACTTATAAACGTAAGGTGGAGGAGGTGAGGGAGATGGTGGGGGTGGGGATTTGTAGACATATGGAGGGGGAGGTGAAGGAGATGGTGGGGGAGGGGATTTGTAGACATATGGAGGGGGAGGTGAAGGAGATGGTGGGGGAGGAGATTTATAAACATATGGAGGTGGGGGAGATGGAGAAGGTGGTGGTGGTGATTTATAAACATATGGTGGGGGAGGAGAAGGGGATGGTGGAGGTGGTGACTTATAAATATAAGGAGGGGGTGGAGAAGGAGATGGTGGTGGAGGAGACTTATAAATGTATGGAGGTGGTGGTGATGGGGATGGTGGTGGAGGAGACTTGTAAACATAGGGCGGAGGTGGTGAAGGTGATGGTGGGGGTGGAGACTTGTAGACATAAGGTGGAGGTGGAGAAGGTGATGGTGGGGGTGGAGACTTGTAAACATAAGGTGGAGGTGGTGACGGAGATGGTGGTGGTGGTGACTTATAAACATACGGTGGAGGAGGAGAGGGAGATGGAGGAGGTGGAGACTTGTAGACATATGGAGGAGGGGGTGAAGGAGAAGGTGGTGGTGGTGACTTATAGATGTATGGGGGAGGAGGTGAGGGAGATGGTGGGGGAGGAGACTTGTAAACATATGGAGGGGGAGGTGAGGGGGATGGTGGTGGTGGTGACTTATAGACGTATGGTGGAGGAGGCGAAGGAGATGGTGGAGGAGGAGACTTGTAGACATATGGAGGAGGTGGTGAAGGAGATGGTGGTGGTGGTGATTTATAAACATAGGGTGGAGGGGGTGAAGGTGATGGTGGTGGAGGAGACTTGTACACATACGGAGGTGGTGGTGAAGGAGAAGGAGGTGGAGGTGATTTGTAATAATATGGAGGGGATTCGTGGACATAAGGAGGAGGTGGTGATGGAGAAGGCGGAGGTGGAGATTTGTAATAATATGGAGGTGGTTTGTGATAGTAAGGTGGGTTAACTTCATGGTATGGTGGTGTAGTTGGTTGTGTATAGTAGTTGGATGGTTGGCCATAGTAAGGATTATCATCAGCCGCAACAATGATAGCCATAAGGCAAAATGCTAATGCATGGATGAGTCGAGGCCATTGCCTCGGCCCAGGTGAGGTTCCCATCTTCTGTGATTTTGTGCTACTCTTGTTCCTTAGAAGACTCGTGTTCTATTTTTGCTTGGCAAAGCATGGATCATAAGCCTTTATATACTGTTAGCCTTCACCCATGATTGATGAGATAACTTCTTTGTTAAATGATGACAGGGTGGCTTAAAGTTTTAAAATATATTCTTATTTCGAGGTTGATGCATTATGCCTTTAAAGTATTCTATATATTTCAACTTGATGTTGAGCTTTTTCCATTAAACGAGTTCATGTTTTCCACAACACGGGCTGGGAACCATTAAAGTCAAGGAAGAGAGTTGGTGATGGCATGGCTGAATGAGTTCATGTTAGATTTAAACAAATAATTTTATAAAAGCGCGTAATAGCAGACAACTCTGATTATTTCATTAGCCTTTTATGGAGAATTGGCCATTAGGATCGTGTGCTTGAAAGTGTGAAATAGCTTATAAAGTCAAATGCAAAACTTGCCCAATTTCTCTAGCTTTGTCCTTTCTTGATGATTAAATTTGGCTCTTTCTAACAAATAGCCATATTTATGGATTATAAAAATATAAACTTATCTTCATTGCTATTCTATGCTCAATATATCGTCGGTGAATGAACTGCTCGAGCTTACAAGACATCCTTGTCAATATGCTAAATAACACACTTGACAAATGGTAATATTGTACAAAATTCTCATTGTGACTTAAAAATTTTTAATTTTTGACTTGGTACAATTACTCTTTATGCTAGTAGACCTACATTAATTGTTTTTAATCAATATCATACGTTTATGTAGACCTTGTACTTATTTTTCCCCGGCAGACGTTCGTTCTATAATCGATTTTTTTTATCATTTCCACCCTGTGAGTATGTTTTTTGTATGCTTTGAAAGCTCGTGTAATGTTTTCGTAAATGAAAAATTCAAGATGTCCAAATGTGGATTGAGAGTGGAAAGATTCGTAATGTTATTTATTTCTTGATTTATTTTTGTGTTATACTTGCAGTATTCTTTATTTGATTTAATATAGTAAGACTTTGAAACTACATGAATTAACTCGTTGTTTACTCGGTGAATGCATGTTTCTTTTTCATTCAATCAATCTCTTCAACCACCAGATAACTCTCCCTTTATTGTTTTCCTCCAATTAAATATAGCCCCTCTTGTAATATTCTATTCTATTACTGCCTATTATTTTACCTACAGGACTTCTTTTCACCGTACATTGATCGACAGTACATTAACATAGGTCGACGATACTGTTTATCAATCGCATATAAATTAGTCATTTTAGATAAAAATTACTTCATTTAATAATTTTTTATAAATATTTAATTTATCTAAACTTTGATATACATGATTCTTATTCATATCAAATTTTAAATAAATAAAATGTTTATAAATATATAATTTTATGATTAATATTTACTTATATTTTAAAAGTATATATATATTTAACACATAATTATTGTTTGATTGTTTAAAAAGGCATGCATAATACGTTTTACGATAAACTATTAATACCCAATAAAATATTGGATAGATATATAATTAGCTTTGTACCCAGTGGAAGCTATGCAGCTGGAATGTCTTTTCGTTTGACATGGTACTCTGTTCTCATTGGCCAAAATAATAACTATTAATTCCCTTCAGATATATGCAGGTTGTTATCTCTCAATAAGTGGGAGGCATATATAAGGAGACTTTGGTTATCTCATTATTCAATATTAATTCAAAACTTTGGTAGGTTGCTCCCTGTAGCCAGCTAACTTTCGAAGACTTTCTAATTTTACATCCCAAAAATGTTCTGAAATTTTAGTGAAGGCATCGTCGTGGCCATTATTCCTTCCCCATATGTTGTTCACATTTTCTTTTCGCACTCATCAATAAATGCATTGGACTCCGAAGGATTCAAATGAATCAAATCTAACACACATTGGAATATCATTCATCGTTTTCATCAGATTATATCAACAACTAGTTTATCCATTAGATATATATTTTGCCACTAAAAGGTGATCAAATTAAATAATAAAGGCTTTATGCGTGGTTTAATATATAACTATATATAGTTTAAATGAAGTTTTAATCCCTCTAAATAGTAAGTCAAGTTTAAATGAAGTTTGAAGGTCTATTTAAATAAATAAATTAAGTTTAAGCTGTTAAATTTATCAAACCAACTTGTTTATATATATATATATATATATATATATATATATATATATATAAATTAAAATTTAAGAGCTTGTTTATTGCGTATTTATTGACTTAGATATGTTTATTGGCCTAAGGCTAATAACCTATTAAGAGAATTTTTTTTAACATACTTTATTAATAGACTTTAGATCAAGTTAGACCATCTAAACAGACTAAATCAGATAAAAAATAAAGTCTTTAACAAATAATTATGCTACAAATTTAACCTATTTACAGTGAGACATGACTTGATCTGATTTGTTTTCATTCTTATTTTTTATAAGGAGGTACATAAATTCAGAAATGTAAGCTTAATTATTTATAAAAATATTTATTAATTCAACTATTTTACACTTTATATACTATTTATATATGTACATAATATAAATTATTTAATTTATTAACTAAATTTTATTACGTAAAAGTTAAAGACCTTGTTCAAAAATTTTAATATATAAAAACTTGTTTGAAAATTCATCGGAACTATAAGAATTTAACAATTTTTTTTTGGTGTTGATAAGAATTTAACATTTGCATTTTCTCCATTAGTACTCACCGTTGTAAGTTTCAAGTAATGAACAAACGCTCCTCTTCTAAACTTCAAATTAGTAAAGTGATATTTTTATTTTATTTTAAAATATTTTATTATTAATTACTCAACTCTAATCATCTTTAAAATATTTCTAAAAAAGAAAACATTATTTCTGAGAGGTCAATAAACATCAAATTTTTTACCTTTAATCATTTGGATAGAAAACTTTATATTATATTATATTATATATATATATATATATGAAATATAATCCTTAAGTATAAGTCACCAAATTTTAATCATACAAATCAAATAATTTAACGATTAAAAAGTTATATTATTGATTTGTACGGTTGAAATTTAATGTAAGTCTTTTACACTATCTGAATCTGTCCATATATATATATATATATATATAATCTTTTGATCAATAAATAAATTTTTTAATTAAAAAGTATAAATGACGCTTCAAATTAAATGCCTAACGTGCCCGAGTACTATCCCCTCTGCCTCAAATCTAGTCTTAGACTTTGTTCTAATGTAAAAGGTGAAGTATGTAACAACTATATAGTTTCATCACTGTCATAATTATCAGACACAGCAAATTAAAGTCCCTTACTGTTTTAATATGTGATTATATAATTGTTATGGTCGACCCCACACTAAACGGACCTCCAAAAAATTACAGATACAAAATTACTTTTAAAAATAATATTAATTATTAATAATTTATTTTTTAAAATAAATAGTATTAAATAATATGTAAGTAACATTAAGAGTAAATATTTTTAATTAAAGAGATGAATACGATCTTCTTGTAATTTTTTTTTATCAAGACCATATAATATGTTTACAAGAACATCTTTTTTCAGTTGATTCATGTGTTTGATGGTGTATTGTAATTTATTTTAACTAGGTAATATATTATTTATCTTATTATTTAATTTTTATTAGTCTTAATTAAATTTTTTTTTAATATTTAACATTATAAAGATTAAATAAAACAGTTATTAACATACAAATGGTCATAAATGTTAATTATCTAGTGGACATATAATATTTATGAAATAATGTAAACAACTAAATTCAAATGAATAAAAAGTTACTTAAATTCAATTAAAGTTAAATAAATTAAATTTAATATTAACTTAAAAATAATAAATAAAATTGATTGTAATAATTTAGTAAATAATTTTGCAACTTAGAAAATTTAAAAGTAAATTAAAAATTAATATACAACAATAATAATAATAATTTAACTAATTTTAAACAAACATTTTTTATATTTTCACTACGTCAATTAGATAGCGGTCAGTAAAAACTGCTTTGTAAGTTAAATTGCTTTCTGATCTATACTTCTGAGAGCAGTTTTCTGTTAACCACTCTCTAAAGTCATATATTAGAGAACGGTTAATAAAAAACCGCTCTCAAAAGTCTTTAACTTTTATAAATGAAACACACTCACGCTTAACTCATGAATCTTTTTATCTTCTTAACAAAGTTGATCTCTTTTACCTCTATAAATTCTTTTCATTTTTTATGCGTTAACAAAGTTGGTATTTTTTTTTTGTAGGTTCTCTTCATCTTCTATGTTTTCACAGTTCTTTGTTTACGTTTGTAGGTAGTTTTTTCACAGTTTTTCTCATTCTTTCTTTCTTTCTTTTTCTCTTTATTAACGGTAAATCATTCATTTTTTCTTTCTTTCATTTTCTCTTTGTTAACAGTGAATTATCTTATTAATTTGTTCTCTTTTTCTCTGTTTACTATTTGGTTTGTGTAGATATGGCTGTTTGATTAATATTATTAACGCGAAACCGCTCTCTAATCTTAACATTTGAGAGCGGTTATTTAACCGCTCTCATAAATGTAATATATTGGATAACACGAGATTTTAAAGCAGTTCTAAACGCTCTCTAATTTAAAATGGAACCGCTCTCTTATCTCATTTTTGGCGTAGTGTTTACTTTAGACCTAATTAAATATTAGTTGGGCCGACTTCATGTTTGTTTCACCGTTATTATATATGCTGAAACCAATACATCAATTATATAAGGTCGTAACGCATCTATATAAATTTCAGAAAACTTGTTATTATCGTGTCAATGGCGTCGTGTTGTTGTTAGGACTATGTTACAATTATACACCATAATTGAAACCTTGTTAATCTAACTAATACACTTGATAAGTGTTTGAAATCGCAGAAGTTGTGAACACGTTCATATTTCAGCCTACCTTTCCAATATAAACACTTTAAGATAATATGTACATAAAATCATACACACCGATAGTATATAAAACAGACACTTTTATCA